CCAGTACACGAAGGCAGCTGTGGCAAGCCAATCCCCAAATGCGTCAACTGTCACGGCCCGCATGCTGCCACTTTTGAGAAGTGCCCGGCACGGCCGAAAGTGGTGAAAGGAATTATTCGCAGACCAGGCGCGGAGCAATTACGTGAGATAAGGCAGGCAGGCGACCGTGCGAGGTCTCAGGCATTTAGCTCTGCAAAAGAGAGTACTGTCGCTCCGGGAAGCGGCAGGACCGAAGCCAGGGATGACGGGCAGAGCGCTGATGCGATGCAAGTCGAAGATGAAACATGCACGGCTCACGAGAGCCAACAGGACAACAATGAGGAGACGATTATCGTATGCCCGTAAATACAACTAGGAATCAGACACAGACACGACGCGGACACCTTGTTGTGCACTGCGTGAATGCGGCAGGGGGGCAGAGGAGCATTGATGCGACTGAACTAGCTCTTAACCTGGCCGACCACGAAGGAGAGAGGGCGGACATTATCCTGATGCAGGAGCCGTGGGTCGGCGTCCCACCAGGCAGGAGGATGATGGTCAAGGCTCACCCCAACTACAACGTCTTTTCCCCGGTAGACAACTGGGATAGCGATAGAACCAGGCCGAGGTCGCTGGTCTATGTGAGGAAGCACCTTCAAGCCCAACAGCTCCGGCCATACCAAACCAGGGACGTGACGTGGGTCAAGGTACGAGGTATTACTTTTGTTAGCGTATACAGGTCAACCACAGACCCGCAGCAAGTCGACAGGATTTTGGAAGAGTGGATTCCACCGACTGGATGTGTCGTTGCGGGCGACTTTAATGCCGGCGACGCCTCCTGGGACTCAGGTAACCATAACTACCATGGAGGGGAGATGTTGGCCAACATCATGTCTGCTCATGGCTTGGACTTGATCTCCGAGCCCGATGTGCCGACGCACGACGATGGCCATGTATTGGACCTGGTGTTCTCCGACATTCCAATGGCAGAGGCGGCAGTCAGCGAGGCACTCCACTCGACGTCGGACCATGAAACACTCCGGGTCGTGGTACCAATTTCTAGGGATCTGGAACGGGTGACAAGGCCATGTAGATGGACCGTACCAGTTGACAACATACCTGAGCTGGTGGAAATGGTCCATGACAGGCTGCACGAACTTCCATCGCTAGGTTATACTGGGGAGGAGCTAGACGGCTACGCTCAGACCCTGGGTGAGATTATCTCTAGCTGCATCAAAATAGCTGGTCGGAGGACGTCACGATTCCGATCTACGGTTTGGTGGAATGATGAATGCAGAACCGCGGTTGAAGAATACAGAAACGCAGCAAAAAGTAATACGAGTCAAGGGGACAAGAAAACCGCAAGGAAAGTTTTCCGCCAGGTTGTGAGGAAGGCTAAGAGGGAGTATTGGCGGGGTGTGATTGACGGAGCCAAAAGCCCGAGTGATCTGTTCAAAATCATATCCTGGCACAAGATGACAGCAGGTCTGAGCGCGCCCCCGATCATAACCGGTAACAGAATCTTTGAGACACAGCTAGACAAGGCGAACGCACTGCGAAGGGCCACGCTAGAGCGAAACAACGGGGAAAACGACATTCCCAATCCTTGGTCAGTTCCAGTGCGACAGCGGACACCCATCCCCTTCGAAAAGCACGTATCGCTAGAGGAGGCCGAGGCATGCACGGTCGGGGTTAGCAGCACCTCGCCTGGGGTGGATGGTCTTACCGTGAAGATACTCAAGGCATGCTGGCCTATCATTGGGAAGCATGTAACGGACCTCTTTCAAAGGTGCTTGATGGTCGGGTACCACCCGAAGCCATTCAAGGTAGCCGAGGTGGTCATGATCCCCAAGCCAGGGAAGAAGGACTACTCTGACCCCAGGACCTATCGGCCCATCTCTCTCCTATCATGTCTTGGGAAGGGGCTTGAAAGACTAGTCGGCAAAAGGCTAGCATGGACAGTGATTGAACGCGGCATCTTGGCACCACAACACTTCGGGGCCTTGCCGAAGCGTGCAGCGACCGATCTAGTAGCAGCACTCGTCCATGATATTGAACAAGCTCTCGACCAAGGCTTAGTTGCCACACTAGTAACAGCGGACGTCAAAGGTGCCTTCGATGCAGCCCTCGTGGGTCGACTGGTTGTGCGGATGAGGGAGCAGGGTTGGCCCCACTTTCTGATCAGATGGACAGAGTCGTTTATGACAGAGCGTTCTGCCAGGGTGCGGTTTGAGGATACCCTGACCGAGGTCGAACCGCTCCACTGCGGTCTGCCACAAGGCTCACCAACGTCTCCCATACTGTACATGCTCTACACGGAACCCATCTGCGGAAAACTGGGTACAAGGCGGCGGCGATTTGGATATGCAGACGACATTGGGATCCTTAACCTCGGGACGACACTCCAAGAAACAGCCGCCGAGGCGACAGAACAACTGAGAGAGCTTATTGACTGGGGACAAGACAATGGCGTGGAATTTGACCCTGCCAAGACCGAGGTTATGCATTTTTCCAGGAAAAGAGACACCGACAATCCTATTGTCACCCATAGCACCACCCGGAAGAGGGCGGAGCCTTCAATGCGCTGGCTTGGAGTATTCCTCGACAGGAAACTGACTTTCAGAGACCATGTCAAGCACTGGGCGGGCAAGGCAAGCCGAGTGGCGAATCACATCCGCAGTCTATGCAACACCGTCAGAGGTCTTCCAGTAGCGTCGACAAGGAAAGCCGTCACGTCCTGTGTGATCCCGATTCTCACGCACGGCCTTGAGGTCTGGTACCCAGGACGGGAAAGGACGAGACAGGGTAACACGACTTCGTCATGCCGTGTCAAGAAACAGCTCCAGCAGATGCAGTCCGTTCTACGAACGGCAATGAGAGCCATTCTGCCTGTGTGGAGAACGCATCCAAGCCATATTCTGCATTTCGAGTCGCAGATGCCGCCGGCTGAGATACTGGCAGAGTCCATCCGCCGACGCCACGGTTTCCGGCTTGGGCGGGTCGACAAAGATCATCCACTAGTGCGGCGGCTGCCACTACAGGCGCGAAAGGACCCCACAAGACTCCAGAGATGCCATCAGCTAGTCCCCATATTTCCGAGGCCAGAATTGGTCCGGCCATCTTTCAAGAAACCACCACATCGGGGAGGCAAGGATGGAGAGGCTGAGCTGTTCAAAGAATGGCTCCACGAGAGAAATGAGGAAGAAGAGCTGATCGTGTACTCGGACGGCTCGCAGTTACAGGAAAAGGGACACAAGCGCACAGGCTGGGGGTTCACCATTAGGAAAGGCGGTACCACCCAAGAAGTGTACCGAAACCGAGGCAGGCTGCACCGGGCAGAAGTCTTCGACGCCGAAGTGCACGGAGCGTTGCAGGGACTCGCAGCGGCGAGGACGATCGGGCCGAATAAACGACTGTTTGTCTGTCTGGACAACACATCCGTGGTGGACGGGCTAAATGGATCACCACCGGAATCGTCGCAAGCCATCTTTCTGCGTTTCCAGGAGCTTGCATCAGGGCACAGTCCTGGGGTGACGGTCAAGTGGATCCCGGGACATCAAGACATCGAAGGAAACGAAGCTGCTGATAAACTTGCCAAGGAAGGCGCAATGCTAGAAACGAAGATAGATAGCCTGCCCACGGTCGCATGGGTACGGCGGGATCTGAAGGGAAAGAAAAAAGACCATTTTGCCCGCTGGTGGGAGGCGCAAGACGAAGCCAGATACAGAGATGTGCATTCATATGCGGCGGTGTCAAAGAACCTCGTCTCATTCAAAAGGGCTACGCTGCACAGGCTCCTGGCGGCAAGATCTGGCCACGGCGACTTTGCAGCATATCATGAACGATTCGGGCATACGGACTCCAATAACCACTGCACTTGCGGAGAGAGAAAGACACCAGAGCACATTTTCTTCTGCGGGAAATTGCAAAGACACCGACTGCTCCCGAGGCACACGCCAAGGGCGGCTTATACACAATATTTGGGGGAGAAGAGTGCGCAGTGGGCGCGTTTTGTAGAGAGGAGTAACTTTTTCACAAGGACATGCCCGAGATGAAGGGCCGTTTGAATTGACGGACTGAGTGAGTGTTCTCACTCAGGTCCTGCAATAGCGTGGACTGGCACGTGCGCAGGCTGGAATGTATGTAGATACTGATACCTCCAAAACCCTGCGATGTATGGCTCTGGGAGGCGTGGTTTGCCCTAGTAAGGGACGGTCCCCACGTTAAATACAATCAATCAATCAATCAATCAATCAATCGACGTTTGGGTGCCTGAGACATACCGCGATCGGCCAGGGTTGTGATTGGTATCGAATGGGACCAGCTCGACGGTGGAACGTGGGCAGAGATACCACACCGGCTACAATTTTGCCAATGGACCATTGCCGCCGCTCCTGGCCACCCTCCTTTTATCAAGATGGCCTACCATACCATTAACATCCTAGAGAGCCTTGCTGCTAAACGCATGACGACTTTGAACACTCTCGACCTGTCGAGCGTTGAGGTTATGATGGTCGTCCGGCCCGGCGTCTTGGACAGACGTCGTTCTTGAACAGTTCAAGGAGATGGACCTGAATGTGACGGGTGTGGCAGACTTCTCCGGTAGAAGCCAACTGGGCCAAGGTTGTATGGTGATATCCTGATCCTCACCATCGATGGCTTCGGTATGGGGCAATTGCATTCGAATAGTACCCACGATGGTACGACCGGAGGCTGCGCTCTTGAAACACAAGTTCCGAGGGTCCTGGAGAAGTAGTGTCTAGAGCTTGAGGCGGCGAAGTCGCTGTTTGCAAACCATATGCTTTACAAATGTCATAAATGAGGTATTACGCTGCATGTACATAATATGTGAAACTGCATAGCTTCCCTTATGTGACAGAAGATATAGTGTAGTTGGCACTTAAGAAGTAGCCTAGCTTTTTCTGTGGATGTAAGAACTTTGGACTGTGAGACTACTGACTGATCATAAACGGAGGAGATTGGGCCACCAATAATGAATCCAACAGTGGGGTTAGCACCTCATGATTACAGAACTACAAGAAAGAAACAGCGCACCACGTGATCATATACTTTTTGGATTGTTTTTAGTTGTCGAAAGCCATACGATAAACCCGACCCCCGAGGAGGAGATGCCCAGCATAATCGATCAGACAACCGGGAAGGAGTTCAAACCCAACTTGCTCATCAGCACCAAGAACCTCACGAGAGGACTGGGAGGTCAGATCAGGGAGATGGCGGCCATCACGTCGATGTTCGAATCCATAGAGGCGTTCAGAACCAAGGGCATGACCAAGCCCAGGAACCCGATGATCTTGACGTTCGAGGATCAGAAGAAGGTCAAGCCGAAGTTGCCAAACGGCCCGGTTTTGATCAACGGCAAGAGACTCAGCATCAGGGACACCAACGGCTCCATCAGGGAGCTTGATTAAATATGTATGATTATTGCAGACACAGTGTTCAACCGCGCTTGGAGACTCCCAACAGAGAATAAAGACTTTCGTTATGCCTGTGAGCACCTGGCCAATTCTTTCTTTATTTTTATGAACTAGGATCGAGACTTAGTACGTGTAGTAGTAACATATGACGCCGTTCTGTGTATCAATAACATCTCTGACCGTGACATTGGGTCTCAGCCCTTGCACATTAATAACAGTATCCAGCGTCAAAGGTGTGCAGGGACTGCTGTTGTCGATACAGCCGTTGATCTTGGTCTTGCGCGAAGCGTCGCCGTCTTGCCACAGCCAGAAGTTGCGGTCGACGAAAAGATGGTGAAGGAAGAAAGTAGGATCCTGTGGTGACGAGGACGCATCGGCCATGACGGAACCGATACCGTTATGACCGTATGCATGAGGACCGAGCTCGGCACAGTTCTCCATATCGGAATAGTTGTCGCGTGAATTGCAGATATTGACAAAATTCTTATTGCACTGGGCAGTCAGGGACTCATCGACAGCGCGGGAGAGACAGTGGTCTTGGAAACCCGAGCCCGGCCCAATGTGAGCAACCGCGTTGGCAAAGTACTATTCAGGTAGTTAGTTCCTGATGCTGTTTGCATGGAAGTGATACTACGTCGGTAACACAGATATACTGGTCGTTGGTAGACGTCCGCAGTGACCCGAAGAAATCGGGCGTGAAGATGGAAGAGCTAGAAAAGTTACCAGCATCAAGAGTTTCATCCCACCAGGGGAAAGCTCTGTCAAAACCACACTCGTCCCTCAAAATCTGTTCCAAAGTCCAGACATAGTATCTGTGCCAGAGAAGGAAAATGCTGTTGCCATGAATGGTATTGGCCATCATCTGGTGAACGCGGACCAGGTCCTCGTATCGGCTCTGTGATGGTGGGAAACGGCCGGACGAAGGCGCATCCATCAGACACTTGAAGGCTGCAGCAAATGCATGCCTATCGGTGTCTGAGTAGTCTCTCCATTCAAATCGCTGGTTTGGGTTGTCGCAACCTATCGCGACAGATATCACGTTATCGATTGGATCGTCAATTGGGGCGATCTTCGGCTCACCAGTGGAAGATGAAGCTGGAGACGGAGACGATGACCCAAGCCCTATGGACTCAGCGATTTCATCGGTGACATATTCGAAGCTGTTTCCAAGGCCTTCCATAATTTTGGAAATAGTACCATTGTGCGACTTCAGGATTCCCGACCTTGCATCCTCCAATGAGATCGTGCTGAACCATCCAAACTTTTCGTTGGGAAGAGGATCGGTTGGGGCTCGCTTGGCAATAAGGGGCGGAGTCGCGGAAACTGTGGTCGCCGCGCCGAGAGCACAAGATAGCACTTGTGAAAACTTCATGATATGGGAGATGTAGTGAATATCCGACGATCTGTGGAGGTGCTCTGCCTGCAGTGACTTTTTCGCAGTACAGCAGATATGCTGTACAGACATGATAAAAAGTGGCTTCCTCAATTTCCCGCTCTTCCCTTCTTTTTGAACACGGGTTATCCAGTTCTGTCTCTGACCTAAAAGTGGCTTTTTGAACCTCTGGAGTACCACGGTGGTTTAGGATACTGTACAACCTTTCATGAAAGGTTGTACAGAGGGAATCAAAACCGCCTTCCTCCTTTTGTCTCTCTCTTCTCTTCTCTAATCACAGACGATCCATTTCTGGCTCTGACCTATATGTATGCTGCAAGTGTTCTTTTGGACCGTGTCAATTTTGATTCCATGAGCGTGAGCTTCAATCAGGCTCTTTCGCAGTTACTGATTTATCCACTACTACAAGGAAATTAAACATCACCGAGGATAGATTTTTGACACAGAAAATATGCATTCATGCTCGGAAAGGACATGCTTTCAAGTTTTATAGTACCAGCGAGGTTGAAAAGTGTACTTTTGCTTGGGAGCCAGAACTGGACTGTCCATGTTCCGATAAAAGAGAAAAGAGAGAAGGATAGGAAGCCGATTTTGATTCTCTGTGTACTGTAAGATGGAAACAAGTGCAGAGTCTATGTAGAGTGGGCGAACCCGGTGTTTACATGTCACTATAAGTACTTCTTCCCTATCGTACCGTAGTCTAGTAAAGCAGTTCCTCCTTACAGATCGCCTTGTCAGCTTTTTTTCGTTAGTTCTCATTTATAAAGCCGTAACCATTGTATACACTACTGAGTATGCACTACCACACCTTTGCGGCCGCTGCAGCCTTATTTGCTGCCTCAACTGCTCTACCTGCCGATACCCTCTCGCAGCACCTGGCTCGGGCTTGTGAATACGCAGGCATATATCCTGGGGCCGTTGCGCAAGGAGTAAGTTGAAATACCTCAAGCAAACTTTATAGGTCCTCCACTGACAAACTACGCGCGGAGCAGACTTGTACTCAAATGGATGGCATATGCAATGCCGGTGATTACTCGACAGAGTGCGACTTCCAAGAGGATACCAGTACTTTTCAGGTCTGCCAATCACCCTCACAATATGCAGTGAGTAGGCCATCCGCCTAGCATCAATCGTTCTTAATTCAGAGGCGGAAGTTAACAGTAGATGAACTGGCAGTGTCAAAAAGAAGGAGATCCTTGCTGGGTATATGCGTCGACCAAATACCTGCCTAACATAACATACTTCGCTCACTGTTCTGTTGCCTAGTCGAGGGAAGTATTCAGCAATGCCCTTATTGATGTGATAGCGGTGGTATGAATAGCTTTGGAAATGATGATCAGAGGATGATTGCAGGTATTTCATTAGGCTTCATACTGAATACTGCTTGGCAAATTCGGGCTTGTCAAGGATCTGAGGTAGGCCTTTAGGCTCATCGTATGCGTTTTGGTTGTTCGAAACCTTGTCTAAAAGCCACATTTCGGTTGTGGTCTCGCGTCGGCACAACTTGGTGTGGAAACCTGGTTCCGACCTCTTATATCCAAGTCAGGACAAACTATAACGAGGATAAAATTAATATTCCGTTCATTCCTGCCCTTGAGGTATATTTCGTAGGCATTCAGTCGTGAAACCCTGCAACTTATAATTCTTCTGTTTCCTTGACTCCTGTAGGTCGGAATTATGCAAGGCTTTTGACTATGCCACGGGCAGAGGTATCCTGTAATACTGATTCAGGCTAGCAGCAGGTCATCAAGCCTATGCACGATAAAGGGGTTGCTCGAAGGGAACATTCCAAAAGCGTAGAGCCGGCAAGGCTAAGCAGATGATTCCCGCCACAAGCTCGGGGATAAACCAATCAGATAGCTTTCGGAGTCAAGGGAAGAGACCACCTGGATGGAGGACGGGCACACATGAGGACAATGCTTGTATTATCATGCCCAACTCAAACTTACTTTGACCCTGTATGAGGAACGAATGAGCCCTGCCTGGGAACCATGGAGTCATTGAAGGCAGCGATGATAGAAGCATAGGAAGCAGTTTGTTAAAAGTACATGCATGTTGCCGCACATAAATTGAAGGCTCGTCCTTGGCTAAATACCTGTTTTGAGCAGTCAGGATTTAGGGTACCATACTAGTGGATATGTTGTTCGATATGTTACCCTTGAACCCCAGTGATTCCACAGCGGTGAGCTCGTCTGTCCGCTAACAACTTCGCCGAGAATCACACTGCGTGGTGAGATCTTCTCTCCTTTCCAAAGACCACTCTAAGAGACATTGCCACCGTAAGGACATTGTGTTCTCACTCGTCCATAAGCGACGGTCTAATTATCCCGAATACCGATTCCAATTCCCCTCAGTCATAAACGTTGCTGCCTTCAGGATTGCGGTATCCACAATAATCTGAGAGCGCTTGCGGCTATACAGTTCTCGGCATCGCCGAGATCTCTGCGGACTAACGACTTGATAAGAGAAGTTCTGCCCAGCTCATTTATAAGGGGTGGAAGGAGTCAATCAACACAAGAATTCCAATTTTCTTTAGACCATCGATTGCAATTACATCACCCATCATAAGCATCATAATCAGGATTCTTGACTTATTTGTTGCGTAGGTCTCATGGAAGGCTGTTACGTATCGAAAATGACCAGCCAATATGGTGCTGGGGCTTGCCTAGAACCTACCTGGCAAGGTTATTGTGAAAGTACCCTGGACGCCCTTTATCTCATCGAATGGTGTATTAGAGGTGACGGCAAATATGTCACACGCCGGCCTCATGATCGCGAGAGGGCCTCTCTGATCGCAAGCGGCAACATCTTTATCTACAAAGAGCAGGCCAACGGCATCAAGCGCTGGACTGATGGCATTCCCTGGAGCCCAAGCCGTATGCTAGGTAACTTTCTTATTTACCGTGAGCTGGACAAGCCATTCAAGCTTGGACAGAAGAGGAAGACCAACCACAAGGAGAATGGTGTCACCAAGGCCAGCAGTAACCACCAACCAAGTTCCATTCGCCATGCGGAGGTCATGGCCATGGGATCAGCAACGGGTCCATCGACGTCTGGCTCGTTCAGCAACCAAGGTGGTCCTAGCCAGGGCAACGCAAAAACAAGAGCTCTTGTTGGTTCACTGGTGGACAGCTATGACTTCAAAAAGGACGGACTCATCAAGAAAACTATCAGTCTCTCCTATAACACCACTACCCATCATATCGTCTCATACTACACCATCGAAGACGTCGAATCCAAAATCCTACACAGACCCAGCGAGACCTTCTTGAGGGACTACACCCCTCGTCCAGAGCTCATTCAATCCAGCAACTTCCGCGTACCAATTAATGACAACGATATCTTCTTTATGCCCGATCATCCACGATACGGTGGCTATAGTGTCCCTCAAGCTTACGATAATAGGCATATGATGCAGGGCATGTACCATGCCAGTGTGTCTGGTTCGATGTCGGTACCTACTGTCCCCAGCGTGCCAGGCCTACATATAGGAGGAGGCTATACGACGCCATATGTCCAACCACAGAGTTATCCTGTCCAGCACTTGCCGACTATTACAATGCCACCAGCACACAGACTGTCGGCTGCATACTCGGCTCCATCAAGCTCACACTATACCTATACGCATGGCTCAATGAAGCAGCAAATATATCCCTCAGAAGATCAAAGTTACAGAATGACGCACAATTATCCTAATAATGTCCTAACAAACTCAATGTATTATGGACTGAACAATGGCACAAATCTACTGTCCTGCACGGTTCCGACACTGTTAAGAAGTCAACTCGGTAACAGTACAGCCCTGTCTAGCAATGGCGAAGCAAATGATAATCTGAGTAATGACTCGATGAGTTCTACAAATAACATCAACGGAGGTCAAGCGGCATCGACGAATTCTGGTTATCATGGTCTCCAAGCCTTCAATTCAAGCTCGGCCGCTTCCAATAACGCTTCCAATAACGCTCCCAATATCTTGCAGACCTCCGGTTCGTTTTCCTTAGGTGCTATGTCACACTCACAGAACAATGTTAACTCGTCGGCAGCTGTCCCTCGGGCCCCAGACCTTGACGGGCACATGCCCAGGACGGACGGAACCGCGGCATCCCATCCCGCAAATGGGCCATGATATTCTCATTGATGATCCAAAATGGCGTACTGCCACCGATTTCAGATTATGAATGGGCAGGAATAGCCGTTGGGTCAAGGTAGAAGAGTAAAACCGTTGGAGTGGATAGAGAGGACTGTATTTGGTATGCGTTTTTAGTTTGTACATCTTAAATCTTGTTTCCTTCCATATCTTAAGCATTTCAACATCGTCTCAATAGTCTATATACAACTCGTAGTTCATCAAGACTATCGGTGAATGAGACGAGAGCGACACTTCCCATCGCGATTCCTTCTTCTAAGGACTGGGGCATCTAGGTCCTCACTTATGTACTGTCCATCTCTTGATTATCTCTTGACTATGCATTGCTATAGTACTACAAACGTGCTGGTGAAGGGACGCATTCGGACGTGAAGACAGAGGGAGCGCGCTGAAACGAGGCTTATTTCAAGCGAAAGACGATACCATAGTCTATAAGCCGCGAGGCTATACCTGCATGTGCCTCAGGTGCCCGTGCTTGGTGTGCCACTTTGTAGTACGCCGGCCGCAGGTGACCATGAAGTCTAGTTTTGAGCTGCATTCAAGATACAGACTTTCATGAGCTTATCTATACAACTAGGTCTAACCGTGATTTAAACAGTACTGCAGCGTGGGCAATCGGGGATAGGGCTCTGCAAGCCTGTTGACGACACTGCGATGTTGCGACTCCTCAGGGGTTCGATGCCAATTCTCGATACTGTAAATTTTACGCTGACCCAGAGATACGTACGTCGTAGCCGGCCCATATGCGGCCACTTAGACCATTCTCTTTAGCGGATACACAGCAAAGACATTGGGGTACTATCCTGTACTAGGCTGAGCCGAACTTCCTCCTAATACAGTACCTGACGCCGCAATGCATGTCGTTTCCCGAACATCCAACTAAGTTGAGGAGATTTCAAGGTAGGGGCAGGTCAGGGATATGGAAGGTGCGCCTTGAAGGAGCTAATTCGACACAGCTAGCTCTATTAGGAGGAAGTTGTCTCGCCCTCTTGCCCAATTTCTCGATTTCATGCAGTGCCCGGGTTGTTGGTTGTCAGGCCACGAACCTTGCTGCCTTTGGTGATTCGGTAAGTGACCTGGATGTTCCCTTAGTCTTGATGCATTGAAACAGTAGGTGATAATGTCTGCGGAAAAGGACATAGTCTTGATCTCATGACATGGCAATCATCACGGTGAATAGGCTCACTGGATCTTTTCTAGTTGGTCATATAGATAGGCCTGGTTTAAACCCTCACCACGCCCGACATATCTCGTGAGATGATCAAGACCATCACGGTCGAGGCTGGCCGACCATGTGCATACCTAGCCCCACAATGACCTGCATGAAGTCGACCCCGTATATACTAGCCGATAACTTGACTGTACGGCAGGGCAAACCGGGAAACAGCAGAGCTGATGTATCCGCCATTGGTGTATGCAGGGCAAGGACTCCTGCACTAAGTTCCATAACGAAGAGGCTCTATAGGTCGACCGGGGAATGACGGAGGACAAGTACGGCTTTTTGATTCGTCTTAACCGCAGAGTGTAATTCTCCCGTTCCACTCCTTTGTCCATGTATCAATTGCGTGTCCCTTAGCCGCTGTATTGCGTTAAGTGATGCAGCAGGTCGACTTCTCACCAGTGGGATGGGATTGGACGGCCACCATTGCGAGCTGTAAATATAACCTGTATGCATACGCAGGAAATTTGGATTTAAATGTTCGTTGTAAAGAGGTCCCGCTCAAGTCCAGCTCACACACTTTCCAAGCACTCTAGCCGGGATGCGGATATAAGAAGACGCTGCTATTATCCAAGATAACTGCCCTGAGCTAAAGTCACCAAACTCTTCTCCCTCTACCTGTATCATCATACTGGATCTCCAGCTTCATATCTCGATAGATCGGCCATCGTCATTCTGTGAAGGAATCGTCGTCTCTTAGGCTCTAGCCTTACAGTACTGCTATCGTCGAACATGTCTTCTGGAAGCCTGGTATGCCCTCATAACTTCGTCGTTCCATGCCACATATAGCTAACTTAAATCTCCCTAATAGTCTGGAATCAAATTAGACCCTGCAACCAAACAAACCGTGGTTGCATCAGACAATACAACTGGCCCCTCAGTCAATAGACCCGCAGAGCCAATTAAAAAATGATGATCAGTTCTCGAGGATAGAGGAACACGGCCACCAATGCATAGGAGTTAGCTTGCTATAACCTTTTGGCAATATTTCAATATTGATTCATAACTCCCACAGTTCAACACGATCTTTCATATGAGCATATATCATAAGAAGCTTCAAGCAGAGACTTTCTCCATCATAATATTCCTGATCTCTGCGTGGGACCTGGCAGCCCACATTTTGCTGTGTGTTAATATGATGTAATCCGAGGCCGCTGCTCCATTAGGCGGACCAACAGCCTTCGATTACGCACCACGCCAATTGCCTCTATACGAATGGCAATAAGCAGGCTGCGAGCCGCCGCTATCGGGAGTTTATACCGCTGACGGCATTTAAATAAACCCCCTTGAACGCCAGGCTGAGTTCCAGCGCTTCCGCATCCTTAAATTGCTACCAGGTTTGAATTGAAACAAGTTTGCTTCGCAAAGAACGTATGAACATCTCATAACCCGGTACTGCCTCCATGCCATTCCATATTTCCCCAGACTTCGGTCACGTCGATCTACAATTTAACATGAAGAATGAATATGAAGGGTGAAGCTGAATTTGGCCGAAGACCCCATAGGATAGCAACTGAGGAGCGACCCAGATACCACTAGTCGTGTCTCTTTTGAGTCCGATCCTGGTAAGCGACCCAGCCAGGGCTACACGCCCTAGATAGTTAGGCGTTCGTAGTCCCCTTGCCGTCTTTCTTATGTAGTGTTGCTTCTATTTATTACCTCCAAGAAAGTTCACTGCATCATCAGATCTCCCATTATATGCCCACGAAATCCATAGTGGTACCTATTCAGGGCACATTGTCACCCCTGCCAAGAGGGGTGCCGGGTTTATATTCACTTGGCAAAGATTGAGTTCATGGTGAAGGGCTCCCAAGAAGACTTTCGCTGGAAAACTGGAAGCCGGCGGTGGTCTAGCAGCATGAATAGTGAGCTGTTATGGAACAAGCAGACATTACGAAAAGCCAATGTCATAGAATGGAATGGAAACCGGTGGAATTATATTTTCGATTTTAATAACACCGAGATTGTCTCGGTGTTATGAACTGTTCTCTCTTTTCTCCTTCGTCTCTTGTCTTGTACCTCATATGTAGTGCATAGGATAGCAATATCAGTGTCATTTCGCCAAGCCAACGTCTTTGCCCTGACATGAGCTCTGGACTCTGGAAGAGCTTTGGAGCTGCGTATTGGCAGGTCTGCCCTGGGTCTCCGTTTAGGTGCGGCCACGTGAGATGGGTTTCCCGTACAAGCGTTTTGGGACGAAAATGAGCACAATTACGTCGGACGTCATGGGATGTGTAGGAAGTCCCTGCGTATCGGCTATGCAGAGATGGCGGCGTTACTCATGTGTCCTCACGAAAGCCTCTTTATCAGTGAAAGTTAATTTAACGTCACGAGTCCTACATAACGTTTTTCTATATGTTTTGTGATAAAATAACTTGTCGGAATGGTAAAGGGTCCATAAGGATGCAGAAAGAGACCGGGGGTTTCTCGGATGAACTGAACGAGTCTCAATTTCTTCGGGCCGCTCCTAGTTTCCGAAACAGATGTTCTTGCAGAGTGGCCAAGATTACTGACCTTGAAATCGCACGCTTCGGCGAGTGGAGCAATCATCAGTCTCGAACCTAGCGACTACGCAATGGCCTAGATTGGCCCTTCTGATGTCAAGGCTCATGCGGCCCTTCTCCTGCGCGATGAGGGACACCCCTGGGAAGTTCCCGGTCAGCCGGGGCGACTAAGATGTATTTCACATTGCCTACGGGGCAAGAATGCGGAACAGGCTCTGCGGCGGCATTCGCAAGGCAGCTTAAGAAATAAATATAGACGAACTTCAACCCTGTGCAAGCATCAAGTAGCAGATGAAGATTTGCACAGGTCGAGCTAAGAACACCTAGAATCTGCAGCCTTTGTAAATATTTATCCTGCATTTTATCTGCAGGGAATCTTGGACGGAGAGAGCGGATGCCGCGAGTGAATGTACCTTGAAAGCAGCGGGTCTTAGATATATTGTCTGACGCTTATGGCGTGTTGGCTATGGTGGTATATCTGTAAATGATTGGCTTCGTGGAATTGGTTATTCCTTCCTGCAGCGATATCCATGTGAATAGATGTTCTTACGTCGCTTTTGCTGAGCATCATGTTACATTTCCTTTTCTCCCCAACCAAAAAGATACAACTCGTTCTGCAAATGAGTCTCTACCAATCGGAATGCAAGCCTTGTCGCGGTCCTGTCCTCCTTGTTCCTGCAAATCTTGACTGCCTAGACAATGTGACGTGTCTCGCCATATGGGGTACATTGGGGCCATTTCGGCGAGAATGGTGTCAAGCTGGAAAAAAATTTGCCTTGACAAGGGATGGGGCATTTAGGCCAAAATCCCCCTTCCCGGTCGAGTCCGTGATGGTATTCTAACGGGTAGCCAACTTACTCTTCCCAGACTATTATTGATCGGAAAAAGGGAACAGCAGAAGCGACCGTTCCCATGTTTTCCTCTCGTATGGTATTGGTCTGAACCAGCGGAGACATGAATTCATGAGGTTAGATTCTGATACATTTCGGACATGATAGTATCTTTATGGGAATCTAGGTTTGTCCATAGTCTGGCTTTCCCCTTACACCGACATGTGCCACTACCGTGCTGCTCTTATTGACGCCGCACTCGTTTTTGGGGTCATACTGTCTAACACGGGCAAGATTTGCTACTATCGCGATGATCAAACTTCACAAATGAATGTATGCCCAGGGGCAAAACAGTTTCTGGGCTTTCATTTGGACAAGTCGATGAAGATCACAATGGAAGGAAATTTTTTCTGTGGTTACCGGCCCCATCCTGGTCACCGATTCATGGAAGGCTGTCATGATCAGAAGCCTTACATATGCTCCAATGATTGATGCATAGATATTACAATGTTAGCGAAAGGTAGACCCAAGTTTGTTTGGAATACTGGATTCCAGTACTTTAAAACAGAATAGCCCTAAAATGGGAGCTTCTCACTTGGCACTTGTGTACTGCAATTTTGTTCGTTGAATACTTGAGCAGTGAAAATTTTCTGATCAACCGTACTTCATACCTCCTCTTCAAGCGCCGCCATCCAGTCAGTCGTTGGGTGGACTTTAATTTAACTTGTATCCTGGTACGAGGAGACGTTGTAGACCTGTCAACGACAGAACATCTGCACGGGGTTGCTATCACTTTTGATATTATAGAGCACTAGCACAGGTACCAAGCGCCCTTACAGGTGGCTTGCAGGTTGCGCAGGAGTGATTGCATCGAGTTCACTTAGCACTAGGGGCCATTTAGGTCGAATGGCTGCTGAAGTAGTATTTCGAATATATTATCAATGCGACTATTGATCGTTGTACAACGTTATGGAATATATCCGTTCGAGATTATTTCAATGCCATACTTAAGTACATAACGCCTGTTACTAACGAAGGACTGCTCCTTCATGGACCGCATATTAGAGGCAGTGATAGCGAGCCCTACAGTCTTGATAATTGCCAGCCTGTCATTTCGCGACGGATCCGCAGCTCGCAACACCAGCCTCCGCCTACCAATGCGATTGGCCAACATCAAACACCTCTGGCGATGGGCTAGCTAACAACATCAAGGCGACTAGTGCAACTTAGTTATGGCTAATATCGGTCGGAGTCAAGCGACAGGTAAAACAGAAAAAGCAGTGACAGACATTTGGACTAGAGATACATGCTCTGTGGGAAACAAAAAAAAAAGCAATGCCTCAGGATGGACCACTCTTATTGGCGTGGGCATGAAATCCGCCCCACCCAATCGCTGTAGATCTGAGGCTGCTCTGCAGGGACCATTACCGATTACCCGGTAAGGACGGGACTGCAGTCCTGTTGTTTAGTTGATACCAGATATTTTATCGGTTAATTTCAGAAGTGCTGCGGGTATGCGACCAAAGAGATATCCAATCGGGTCTCGTGCATCGAAGGGTATTACCAGGGTGGCTAATGTTAACTAGCCTGGATGGGGCTGGGAGTTCTGTAGTTGCACCTGATGGCGATTGGAGTAACTCAGACCGGATTAGTTGAAGAAACGACACGTAGTTTGCGTTTCTGTGTGATCAAAGTCGGAGCGGCGGAGCCCGACGTCCGGAGATAAATTGTTGGCCCTTTGAACTCAAGTTGCTTGAAGTACCTGTAACATGAACACAGCCTGTCGGGACCTGTCAAGGGTGCAGTGTGGGGACAGAGACATGTAACAAGTTGAAGAAGAAGAAAGTCGTTGAGGACCTAAAAGGGATCGGAACAGAAGGCTGCTATTTTTTCAGCTCGATCACTGGTATTTAAAGTCATCGATGTTCCAGGTCAGAAATTCCATCTCAAGGCTCAAACCATTTTCGTGAAATTCAGTACGACTTCGGACACCTCGAGCGTCATACAGAAATGTGTCACGCACATCCCCATTATCACGGATGTCAACACACCTCTGTGAAATGGTTTTATTGCCCGGAAGGTGCCTTTGACCCCAAGGTTGGATACGCATCGCCATGCTCAAACCCAATATACACGGCTCCGCAACCATCGAACGCAGACTGCCCTCTTCAGAATTGCAACTATAAAGTCTTGGGAGGCAGCTGGACCTGTTGCCAGTGCGCCTATAATGCGAATTCGCAAGGCTGGTGTAACGGCAAAGATTCTCGCCTTGGGAAGACTTATATTGTATCAAGTAGTGGGAACACAGAATGGCAGAGCTGTGGCCACGGCTGCTGCAGTAAATGCGTGGCAAACAGTAAGTCATTCTTCTGCTTTGAGAGGTGCTGGGAACGCTGCGCTTATCACGGTTGTGTAGATTCTTCCAGTTCCAGTCCTGAGCTAGCCTCCACAGATGTTCGAAAAGGTAAACACCGAAGCAGGCGAGGGGCACAATCTTGAGTTCGGACATGAGAGTTCATCATCCCCGTCATCGTCGGGTGGTTCTGAATTTGTTATGGATATTGCCTGTTCTAAGAAGTCGAAGTCTGCAAGTGGGATGAAGGAAACACAAGAACGGAGTCATCACCATTAACTGCTTGGAGACGTTAGTTGGGGCACAAGTGGCTGGCTACTCGCACATACGTGCAGTCCAGTATTGGTCTCAAGATATAGCTGCCAGTCTATGTCAAGATCAACCTCGGATACACTTTTGTTGCCATTGCTGCCTCCACTCCGCCCATTTCTTAATCTTCAATGTTTTCTCTGACAAGTGATGTTCCCTGCGGTGTAATATCTATTAGTAAACCACTCCCGAGTATCGTCACCCTTCCAAGCCTCCTTCAATTTCCACACAATCCCTTGCTCCTCTTCGGCCTATGTAGATGTTTGGCCCCCTTTCCTCTTCTTGGCGATCTCCGTGGTAAACATGGTAAGTGCTATTCCGGTCAGCTGTGATCCGGTGCCAGATACCTTGGGGGTCACTGCTAGGTCCGGCCCCTAGGCATGAACCCCCTCGTCCACAATTTTCCCTTCCAAATCAAGATCCTGTCGTAATCTTCGTGCAAAACAGACACGGGACAGTCAGCGAGTAGACGACCCTCCGCCAGGCCACACCCAAACCAAGAAGGCGAGACCGAGCGGTCCTAAACCGTCGGGAACATAGAACCGAAAGGCGCGACCAGACGAACATCCGCACGATCGAGTCCCGTCACAGAAGCCAAACCCAAGGGGTCGGTTTCCCACGCTTTCGACATCGCAGACCCGAAAGAGACGGGCAGACGATCCTCCGCAAGACCAGACCCCGTCTAAGAGGCATGTGTGAGGGGTTGTTGCCTCAATCACCCTATTCATTATCTACAAGAGTCGACACTTTATGGCAGTTGGTGAGAACTTGGTCATTCAGCCAACTCAACGTTGCCCGTATCTGTTACTGTAGTGATTCATCAAGCAAAGTCATTTCTGGCACCTGGTCGTGGCTTTGTCGAATGTATCCAGGAGAGGTCGGGTCTGGTCCCAGCACTACTTTCTGGAGGACAGTCATGGATGTCGCAGAGTAGCAAGCAACGATGCGCAAGCAGTAAGACACTACAAAATGACGCGCTATACAATCGCAACCAGGACTTGATGCGCGGGCGCGATATAGTTTTTTATTAATGTCGACGAAGGGATCGTTAGAGATCTCACTACCAGTGATGAACTGAGATGGAGAGCTGCTTCTGCCGACTGTGTCAGGTATCCGGTCTGCTTGGACCACGGAAACAGTTGGGATCGAACTGTGGTCCGTGGACAAGGCGTAGAGGGATCAGTACGATCGCATCTAGGTCCCTATCGAAACATAGGACGTCTGTAGGTTCAGTTCATTGATGCCGGAGCTTCCCATATTCTTTTCACCTGCAACTTATCAGAGACTAAGCCCATACACTCTCTAGGGGTAGATAAAATACGGACTGAACTCTATCCTTCATCGCGTCCAAATGCGCGCAATCGCATGACCACTTTTCACCACTACACAGCAGCAACGGTCTGAACAATGCCTTCTCCCTTTCGATGCTGTCGAAAACTGGACATGTTTGGAAGCTGTCATGAACGAAAGCAGAATCTGAAATACCTTTTTCCAGATCCGATCCGCCATTGATTGGGCTATTTAACGTGGGGAACATCCCTTATTAGGGCAAACCACGCCTCCCAGAGCCATACATCGCAGGGTTGTGCAGGTGTCAGTGTACGTATATACATGTCAGAGCCGCTCACGTGCCGATCCACGCTATTGCGGTATCATGCTGGCGCTGCCCGATGATTTTAGTCAGTATCCAACCTCGATTCCGTCGGAAAACATCCCCGTCCATTGCTATTCGACCCATCAGTCCGCAGTTCTCCGGTTTTCGGTGGGTTTTCCCCGCCGGCGGAAGCAACATCACCTGCTTTCACCTTCACCAATTCGACGGACATCGAACGACGAGGTGGAAAAACCCGCCAGAGTTTGATATGTGAGGAAGACTCTTTGGTCATCGGGCTCTGCGATAGAGCCCATCTCACTGTCGTGTGCCTGTTGACGACTGGCAAAAGCCGGGTGAAGGGATTGCAGCGGGATTCGAACCCACTTGCTCTCGTCGCCCAGCGCAACAACGAGAGCACTGCCAGGCGCACTTAACCACTGTCGCCATATGAGCACCGCCGCATTTGATGGGCAATCTATCGTGTATTCCACGAGCAGTGGAGGAACCCCATCATCGAAGGTTTTTGATCTGCATTTCCTTCAAACCCGCAACGAAGCTAGCCGGGATAATTCGTGCACGTTGTCTGTATGCAGAGATCACAAACATCGATTCGAAAGGGCTAGGGATCCTAGTAGACATAGTTAGACGTGGAGAAATGGTGGAGAGGGACATGACTGCGCAGCAGGCAGATACTGCATTGTATCTATCTCAAAACGTTCCGTGGAGTGCAAAGGAGAACCTGGAGGTTAAAGCAATGAAAAATGTGAGAGAGTTCCACAATGGCACGCGTAGAGAGTGCTATGCACCAGGGCAACCCAGCTAAGTACGCGCTTGGGTTCAATTCAGTACCCTAGCATCAAACTAAAACCTACAATTGGGAACCAACACCCCAAGATATTTACTGCAGCTTACGGGGCCCAAACCTGTTCTTTCAGCGCAAAAGCACACATGGCGTGTCGCTCAAGTGGAGGTCTCACCATCTGCCGGAGTTTTGTTTGTGTAACAGGCGCATGTGGATAGACGTGTAGCCTGATTGCGTACACGACTCTCACGTGGAAGATTTCATGGACAGAACGGGCCATGCGCCGGCAGTCATGGATTGCGGGACTTTTGCAACCCTTGAACAAGGCCATCGGACTGTCCTCCAATCCTTCTTGGAAGACAATTTAGGATTTATGGCCGACCGATATACAAGTATGGTTTTCTGAGAGGCGGATGAGGCGCCCAGAGGTCAATACTGGATAGGGGTCTGCTTGCGATTGCACTACCCGATCTGCGGATATGGGCACAGCAGGTTGATTTAAGGGGCTTTCGTGTCAAGACCAAGATGGTAGCCAGTCGGTAGCGCCATGAGTTAGGCACAATAGAAAAAGCTAGAGCAACATAGAATTTTAGTTCCTTTTTTCTTCTTCTTAATAATATAGTATTCCTACTCAAATACTGGAGGTTCTATGCTAGTAAGTGTAGGATCATACAGATGCTGCTGGCTACTCGTCGCATCCCGTTCAATGACCGCTTGCAACTTCGTAAGGACAACTTGCCAGATACTGGGAATTGCTCCTGGCGATCAACGTTTAGCATTTTCTGGCGACCTATAAAATAAACAAAACATTTAACCCAGGAGTCGTGATTGTTTTGGGCCTGTGAGTGCCAGAGTGCATCGGACTGCAACTGGATATATAAGGGCTGCAATCCCCCATGTGATAGGGAGTAGGGCTCAGCCCGTCTAGCACCCTAGCACTCCTTGCTTCACCCCGTCTGACAACTATACTACAAGTCCATCCATCTGGCTTGTCGATTGATCCATTGTGTGAGATGTCACTGTATTCAGATGCGCCCACTATACTCAGCTTATTAGTGGATGTAGTGCAGTGATAAAAAGTTCTGCGAATACCAATGCGATTTTGTTTCTCAACACCATTGTCAAACGAACTAAATTTCAACCCAACGGGAGTTTCAGCTTCACCCATATTACTTTCTTGATTATCTATTGATTTGGCACATTTTTGCACAAATACATCATTCGATGCAATACCGATCCTTTTTCACGCTTGGGGAATTCCTACGCATTGAATTAGTTGGTACATGAGCTGATTCCCCGTCGTTTAGACGCTCACCTCTGAGACTGTAATCCAAGACACTTTTGAGTTCATGCGCTCCATCAATAGACTGTCTTCTTTCTTTGACCACTGTTCAGGGTTTTGTGCAAGGCATCTCTCAAGCAATCGCATCGACTGCCGGCGAGTAGATCTCGCAGGTTCCGTTGAACCATTTTGACGCGTATCCATTGAATTGGAGCCGCGAGAGGAGTTTTTTTTTCTTTTTTTTTCGTGAAGGTTGACAGATGCCGTTGAGATGGATTAACAGCTTAAGATTTTGATGAGGAGAGCCGAGTTTAAATGGCCAAAGAAACATGTTAGAGATGTTTAAATATCCATGCCTAGAAAATATTGGGCCATCCCTTCTTCTATTTAAGCAGCTAAGTCAAATACATGGTCAGCAATGAAATCTGCTTCTGCTCTTGTGGACGGAAAACATATCTTCTAAGAGCCCTATCTGAATCTTATGGCGCTGATTCAAAATAAGCTTTACCGTTCTGGAATGCAGGCTGTCACTTCTGGAAATTCACAGTACAGTACAGTTCAGTACCGCAGTCTGTCGTGGACATAAAACAGATTCACTGACGAGCTTACAGTATGAGAGTCCTATTTTTGAGTGCTATAGTTCCAGCTGGATATTTCACTCTTGGATCACTGTGATGGTGAACAATGGTCCAGAAACAGTTGTAAGGAAGTTGCGTAAATAGTGGAAGTGGCGAAGAAGTAATCACTCATGAACGAAGGATTTGCCGTAGGAAGATCTGGGGAGCTCGACCTGGGTGGAAATATCTCGTAGGGCGAAAATTAACACATCTGGCAAGCATTCGCGCTTGTCGTCCCGTAGTTGTTCAATTATGAATTTCAACAAATAATCTCATTATTACGCTTGCCAACATTTCCCCGAGAATTTCAAACGAAATTTACAAATTACAAGGCTCAAAATCTAGTTGCCTCGGCTATCATTTCCAAAAGTGTGTAAAGGCTCGGCGTCATGGTCGTAATTCCTAGCCGCTCGTGCATTGCATCCTGGCTCCAACGTGCGCGTTCGCTTTGTTATGTTCGTACTAGCTCTCCGGTCGAGAAGCTCTGAGGCAGAAGGAAATCATGCAAGTTGTACGAAGGAGCATCGTTAGGTGGGCATGATATAGTCTTTGAAGTCAGTTTCCTATCGAGAAATACTCCGAGCCAGCGCATAGAAAGCTCTGCCCTCTTCTGGACGACGCCATTGGTGCGATACTTGATGATGATTAATGCCGTTGTGATACCTGTCATGCTGCTCCAACTGATCCAGTAGGGGTTTTCTTCGCAATGGATGGTGTAGACGGATAGGGAAATTCTCGAGTATCAGATGTGGTATTATGTTGGCATACTCAAGGATCCGGATCAAGCCAGTCCAATCGCAAAAGACACATATAAAGGAAAGTCTGCTGTAGATCACTACAGCGGATATATATCAGCGGCCATTCCCATCTGAGTAGTAAGATAATAAGCATCCTAAATATATCACCATTCACCCCATCTATTTATTAATCACCACTGCCATTCCTCCTACAATCTTTTGATTTTATAAGGCTTTGGCGGACGTACTCTCCATTCGAAATGAGAAGAATCAGTAACCTAAGGCTAGCCCAGGACCTGATCAATTTCCAGCAACCATTCTGTCACTTCGTCGTCTAGACCAGTCTCTGGAGAGCCATCGTGTTCAAAGCCCCGAAATGTCCTGATTAAACCAGAGTCCTCATCGTTTGATACAGTACAACACATTTGATTCTGATTTCCGCATTTCGTTCCATTTGGCTGATTGATCGTTGTTGCGACATGTATTGTTCGGTCAGATAATCCATCCAAGTCTCGTTCATCGCCCGAATAGTCGGATAATCTTCCGTCTGCTGTGACTTCTCTTGGTGTTGTCGAAGCGTGCTGGCGCATCACTTGGCGGCGTTCTATCATTTGTGTATTTGCTGGGGCTCTGGAGCGGCGAGCAAGCCGGACTCTCTTCTTTGGCAGAATTCCTGGCTTTTTGTCGATCTGAGCGACTAGAGGTTTCCCACTCTGCTGATTGACCACTTCCTGTGTATTGACTTTTTTCGATAACCTTTGGGATCGCCGGAGGGCTGCCATTGAGCGTGACGAGAAAGCAGATACGCCAGAGTAATGGCATGTGATAAGTTGGCCGGCTGGCAGAAGACTCGTATCAAGGCAAGAAGACGACTGGAAAGTTCATCTTAAGCTCTTTACATCCCAGGATGCGGTTCTTTCCTTGTCATCTCCATTATGGACCTGGACCAGTCCAAATCAGTCTCACCACCGACATAGATACTGTACAGTACAGTGTGCCTGTCAATGGGAGAAAGAGGACCCTTAGGACAATTATGCACGCAGAATCCATCAAGCTACTACCAGCCGAGCCAATAACCGCGCTGGCCAGTATTGGCACCTATGGGCTTCGCAATTGCCCTGTATAGTGTACAGTGAGTAACGAAATCGGCTTCCGCTCATATGGGCGAAAATCAATATTCTCGAGAGCCATTTTTGGATCCTTTTCGAAATTAACAGGTTAATTCTAGCGCTTACTCAGATAGGCATTACTTGGTTGACATGAATTTGTCACATTGGAAACGTCTTGCAATTAAAAATTAAGTTCTTTATGTATGGAACAGGCCATTCAGATCGATAGTGTAAATTCTAGGACTTCACCCAGTTCCCAGTCTTACGCTGTCCACACTATGGACACATACGGATCGCTACCCGAACAGGTTAAGAACAATGTATTTATCATTCTACAATCCTCGACCCAGAAACCGGCTCTCGCGAGAACAAATTCTTCCACTTTGTTTCTTAGCTGGCAGGACAATTCCAAATGTCTTTATAGATAGCCATTTCAAAATCGAATGCGGGAAATTCGTGATCTGTCTTGTTTACAGTCATTCATACTTGAACAGCATCACATAACCATCAAGCTGCTGCCTACTGGAGGTCAGACTACGAACGGGACAACCAACATGCATACCAGGCCGCAGAGAATCAAGATTAGCAGAAGTGGCCCATCGCTTAAGCGTAAGGCCAAAGCCCTTGGCGAGAAGGCGAATGTTCTCAGCGTGCTCATGTACCACAATGCCATTGATAACCGGATGGAAATCGAGGTACATGTGCCTAAAGACCTGAAGAAGTTACCGGATTTCAATAAACTTGTTTGTATCCGTCCCTTCATATTTCATGGTTGAACGAGAATTCTGACATTTTCAGGTCCAAAGAGCCATCCGTGAAAAGAGCCGAAAAGCTAAAGCTCACGCTCGGGCTCTTGCTACATCACAGCCGACAAGCCAAACTCGCTCACGTACTGCCGACCGCGAAACCAGCGAGGAGAGAGCTCAAGCCGTTTCGCTATCGATCTACGATATCATACCCGACGATGACGGAGACACTGTTATCGTTCACGATCCATCTTCTGCTGCAGGCGGGCAAGCGCACCCGGGTCACTCTTCGGGCTCAGGTAAGCACTCCCACAATCTAATCGGGGTAGAGCGATGTTCCAATCAACTGACCATGGCCAAACAGACGCTACAGGAAGCCCGGACAGCAGATACCAACGTCATTCACATAGAACAGAATCGAGCACGACGATTAGAGACGGGACAGATGATGATTTACTGTGTTACCAAGTCGGACAGAATAGCGCTTCGACACGGAAAGGCGAGATAAGACAACATAGTATAGGTCGGGCTGGACAGCCTCAATATCCGTCAGGGCGAGTCACAAAGCAGCCAGTGAGAGGCCGTGCACGGCCTCAAGCTTTGGAGACGCATACATCGGCTGAGGGTCTCAGCGTGCACCGTGCTCAAGTGGGGAGACAATCTATGGCCAGTAAGGTCTTGCGGCTGTTGGCAGAGCTTGCAGGAAAGTCGCATAAAAACGTGCTAGAGAAAAGTCAACAGGTTTGAGGGATGCATAGGATATCTAGGCCTGTATCCTGCAAAAAAAGATATACCCTCACGGACTTTGCATCCGGCCCCTCTTAGACCACTCTCGATCTGTTCCAGTCGATTGTGCTTGACTTTCTTCATGGCATCTTTCAGTTCCTCGAGTACTTCCTGAATCTTGTCCAACGCTGCAACAAGATATGCTAAACTTCCAACTGGCTCGTACTTCATATCACCCACCGCGGAAAGAGAGCGTTCCTGGTTTCCACCAGACGAGGTTACGCTGTCGTCCTGGCTATTATCGTCAAATTAGGATTACTCAGTCTTCAGTCTCAGTCTACAGTCTACAGTCTACAGTCTTCATTCTTTAGTCATCATTCCTCAGTCTTCAGTCATCAATCCTCAATCCTCAGTCTTCAGTCATCAATCCTCAATCCTCAGTCTTCACTCATCGGTCTGATGGGGATAGTGTCCACCACCGCATTAGCCACGCCACATTCGAAAGTCTGCTCCGCGACCAGCTCAAGCGCACCCTCGACGACGGGATCGAGAGCCTTGACAAGGGAGGTGCTCGTGGGGTCCTCTTCAAGGTGACTCTTCTTGCATATGGATATACCTTTATTGGCAAGGGCACCGTGCCGGCATTTATCGAGGATCGCCCGTATGGCGCAGTGGTTGAGTGCGCCTGGCAGTGCTCTCGTTGTTGCGGTGGGCGACGAGAGCAAGTGGGTTCGAATCCCGCTACGGTCCCCTTAACCCGGCTTGTGCCAGTCGTCAACAGGCACACGACAGTGAGATGGGCTCTATCGCAGAGCCCGATGACCAAAGAGTCTTCCTCACATATCCAATTCTGGCGGGTTTTTCCACCTCGGTGGTTTTTCCCCGCCGGCGGAAGCAACATCACCTGCTTTCACCTTCACCAATTCGACGGACATCGAACGGCTACTGGGACGATGTTCAAACCGGAGGACTGCGGACTGATGGGTCGGATAGCAATGGACGGGGATGTTTTCCGACGGAATCGAGGTTGGATACTGACTAAAATCATCTGGCAGCGCCAGCATGATACCGCAATAGCGTGGATTGGCACGTGAGCGGCTCTGACATGTACATACATACACTGACACCTCCACAACCCTGCGATGTATGGCTCTGGGAGGCGTGGTTTGCCCTAATAAGGGATGTTCCCCACGTTAAATACAATCAATCAATCAATCAATCATTTATCGAGGATCTCGAACACGAAGTAAAGTTCTATCAGGCCCTCCAGCCGCTGCAGGGTAGAGCCACTGTGAGAGGCGCAGTCAATGTATGTTTCAATTGACTATCCTATTCACGAGCATCTAAAGCTTGAAAAAGAATAGAAACACAACCTTTCATCCATAAGATGGCACAATTTGTAGTTGCAGATTCGCCACCTCGCCAGTCCGTCGAAACCTTATTGCTTGGGGAAAGTGCACGCCGGCAGCCGTGCCTATAAGCTAGTCGGGCTGAGCTTCATGGTCGCGCTCATGGTTGAAGGCTTTGGCTGACAACTGATACACGGCCCATAGCCCGTAACAGCCACGCCTATCTTTCTCGGGGCGATCGACCTACGTTCGATATCACGCACTTGCTACTACGACTTCCGAGTCCGAGTTCAATACATGATGTTTCTATCCTGGGGTGGTGATAGCTTGGACTCCGTGCGCACTGCGGGCGATGATGGAAATCTAAGGCGACAATTGATTCATGCCATCCGTGGCTTGCACACTTGTGGGGTCGCGCACAAGGATCTCCGGTGTCCTAATGTGCTGATAAACCGAGAGACTGGACAGAATAGGATATGCGATTTCGAAAGGGCTGTTTTGATGAAACGTCCTCGGCTCCCTCTTGGGTCTGTGGTGCCAAATAAGAGAAGGTTCCCGACAAGAGACAGCGGGGGAAAGGTGGGTCGTAACTTGCCTTGTGAGCGGCAAATGTGTGAAGACTTGAACGCAGTCAACATGATATGCGTGCAACAGATATGAGGTACATCGGCGTTTGGACTTATCAAGGTTGAAGATTTATACGATGTCGGAGTTTAGCTGTTCGATGATGAAGTGGGCGGGAAGCGGGTAATCAAAATCCGCGAGGCAGTGATGGGCCTATCAATGTCTTCTATCCAGATCCTCAGATGGTGGCCGCTTTTAAGAACGACGCTATAATAGAGATCAGCTATGTGCTCTCTCCTATTTAAAAGTTTGAGTAAATCGTATTGTATTTTGGTTTGGATCTAGGGAGTAGCTCGGCACACCATAAGAAAAGCAGTATATGGATACAAAGTAAATAAATGTTTACAATACTTCAAGTAGTCGAGGCAAAAATGAAGGAACGGGAATTGGAAATCCATGAATACATCGGAACTAATGTTGCGAACGAGGTTGCATTCAAACAGGCATCCATCAGCCAAGGCAGCCAAGCTAAATGAACTGCCATTAATGTAGTACGCGTGCCTCTCCAAACATGAGCCGCCATCCTACAGGGCGTCCAACAAGGCTGAATACAATGCATATTCGCGCACTTCCAAAATGCGCTGTGAAAGTTGGTCACAGGTGCTTCAAAAGCCAAGTCCCGCCCTATCCTGATATCGAAGGCGAAATATTGCACCGGTCGAGGTCTAATCGAAACCTTTCTTGAAGGCGATGTGCAGATTTATACCTATACGAAACTTTATGCCTTTAGAACGACTAATAACCTTGTAAAAGTCAGGGTAGTACAGTAAGTTTTGGCTCCAAGATTTCCCAAACGGACCTGAACCCCTTGCTACACCCAGAGTTGCCTATCCTGACACGCTATCCTGATATCATCTCTGCTATCCTGCTATATCCGATATGATATATATCATATATCCGATAACGTCAGGCTCTCTTATCCTGATATCTATCCTGATATCAGGATAACCTGCTGCTTGTGATTGGATGGTTGGCCAGCAGGACCCATATTTACCTACCGCCAAGAGCGGTGAGGCCAGAAACTCATCTTGGCCGCTTGATTAATGGTGGATCAGTGATCTATAACGATTCTCAAATGTTTACTAGATGATCGTACTAAGTATGGCATCCTCACCACAGCGACTGTCAGATTGCGTCTCGCAGTCCCAGATGAGTGTTCAACCTGCATATGATGCAGAATCAGCGTCATCTGATATTCTGAATTTTGATTATATATTCCGTGCAACGTACCCAAACAAGGGTCAGACAGGGCCATCGGGAAAACGGAAAACGAGAGGCCCTGTGGTGTATGAATGCCTTCTTTGTCCTTCTGATCAGGCATGGTCAAATCCGAAACGAGACAATGCGGTATACCATGCGAAGCGCAAGCACAGCGACATAATCAACACTTCAGATAATACCATACTCGAACGGTCATCAGACACTGGCCCTCCATTAAAGCAGGCTAGGCTTCGTGATTATTATACAGTCAGCCCATCGGATTCAACCCTTCGTCAGGTATTCAATACCCAGCGCTACACTGAAAGCATGGTTGCTCTTCTTACACGCCGACGGCTGCCCTTTTCGGCAGTTACTTGGGATGAGATGCAAGACATTATGCTTGCTTGCAACCCCGCGATCGAGGACCTCATCATGACATCAAGGCATGAAGCAATGCGCCACATCACTGCAAACTTTAGCCTCTATCAGTCGCAATTAAAAGCTAAGCTCAATAGCGCCATTTCAAAAATCCACATCTCATCGGATCTCTGGACATCGCCACACCGTCACGGGGTATTAGCCGTCTGTGCTAGATGGGTTGATAGGGAATATCAACCCAAGAGAGCACTTCTGAGCCTACCAGAAGTTCGACATAGTCATTCCGGTGAACATCAGTCTCGACTTATTCTGGCAACACTCGTCCTCTACGGTATTACGGATCAGCTCGGCTGTCATACCGGCGATAACGCGACATCTAACGACACGTGCCTGCTGCATCTATCAATTATGCTGAAACGGGACCACAACGTGAGCCAATTCTCTGCTCTATTTTCTCTATAGCTGCCTAATTTATACTAGGTCAATTGGGATCCCAAACGGCACCGTATCCGCTGTATTCTTCGTGAAAGGATGTCATGCACTAATCTTGAAAAGTTGAATGTATAGGTGACTGGCTGCGCGAAGGCCTCATTATACCGTCATCGCGTGGTGGTAGAGGCCTCATCATCTCTTTGAGCTGCGCTTTAGTATTATATCATGCCTGCTAAAGCTGCTAAAGCTACTAGCCTGATATCATCTCTGCTATACTGCTAAGCTGATATCATATCAGGATAGTGTGTTATCCTGATATCAGGATAATTTATCATATCCGATATGATATCAGGATAGGCAACTCTGGCTACACCCCGTCTGACAATTATACTACAAGTCCATCCATCTGGCCGCTAGGGCAAGGATATTCTAATTTGGCCTCTGTATGACCACAGCGTTTGCTTGCTGTGATCGCGGCTAGGCTATCAAGGATTTCCTCCAAAACAGCTCTTCTAGAGACTGGTTCCATAGTGAAGTCGGCCGTATATATGGATGAACCCGCGATAATCTCAGGGGAAGCAGCGAATTGCGTAGGATCAAGGCTGATTTTGAAGTTTCGGGCCTAGGACTCAAAGGTGAAAATAAGCGCCGATATTTGTAATGTTATATGTTAATAGGCATAGACCTTGCTGTATGGTGCCGTTATTTTTAACATTTGGCATTTTAGATGAAAACTGCCATCCACTAAACTACCATCTGCCACTAATCCACTCCACTGCCATTCACTAAACTGCAGCCATGCACTAATCCCCCATCCACTAAACTGCTATTCACTAAATTGCAGCCATGCACTAATCCCCCATCCACCTCACTGCCATCTGCCACGAATCCACCTCACTGCCATGCACTAATCCCCATTCTCCAGCTTCGATCATCTCAATATCCCCCTCTTCATCGAGTTGGTGTTTCTCTGCACCCAAGCATTTCGTACTGCGGCGTGCATCGATAAAATTAACTAACAAAAGGTCTAGTCGTATTGAATTGCACTTGTTTTGAGCACATGCTGTAGCTAAATCAATGAGTTCTGCCGCCTCATCAATGATTTTAGCTGGATACGTGCGTTTGACACTTTGACCGAGTAGGCGAGTAGAAAATGCTTCCTTCTACCCAGATCCGACACCTTAGTCAACAGCAAATGTCCATAAAGTTTATTGTTCTGAGACGGTACACACACACACACACACACATGTTTATTACGCCCGGGTCATTCCCCTAGAGGGCAACTAACGCTATGATACAAAAACGCTTCTCATGTTTCCGTCTTGACTCCGATTCGAGCCCATACTGCAAGACTATAATCAACCATCCAAAACCACTTATTGTCCTCGACATCCCTGTATGATACTGTTAGTTGTTAGTGCATGGCAGATCAACTTGAAGTTGACTTCTCCAAGTGTTCAGAGTCCTATCCTCGGCGACTGAAGCGCGACCTGCTGAGTTAGTATATGTTTGGGATGTCCTTTGTGCATCATTTTCTCCTTCTAAGCCTAACTCCCGACTTCCTTCACCGTCTGTTGTAATCGTCCTGTGGCGATTGCGAATGTAATTGTTGCTCGAACTGCTTTGAGGTCTGGTGTCCATTTGTTGTCGTCACTATAGGTCTTTCCACCAACGTAGAACGAGATACTTCCTCTTCGGTCTTCCGTATACTGAAGCAGATCTTTACGATGTGCGGTCCATTTCGTGCAGCGCATGACAAAGTGTTCTACAGTCTCTCTTCCGTATCCGCAGGCGCAATCTGGTGATGTTATTGCTCGCACTTGAAAGCTCAAGCTATTTGAAGCGAGTTAGCACATCATCTTCTGAATAGCATAACCGTACCTTGACCCGCCAAGGTTGGTCTGGCGTTGCCACGAAGATCGACTTTTCGTGATGGTCTTCGCTGATAACCTTGTATTCATTGGAATCACAGGAGATCCATGCGCCGTCCGTGGCAGGATCCCGAGGCCGTCTGAAAACTACGAGTACGGTATTCTTCACAAGAAAACTTGATAGTATTTAAAGCCCACTACACGCGAGTCTGTACAGCCTAGCCAAATTCCCTACTTTACAATCGGCCCAGTGACAGCTCAAGATTCGAAGTAGCGCAGGCACCCGATCCTTCTCTAGCCTCACCGGTGGTGAGAATATAATGGAAGTTATATTAATTCAACCTTTCAACCTTAAACTGCCTCTTGTACATGATAGTTAGGTCGCCGCTCTTCCCTAGAATGTGTCGCTGTCTCGAAGGTTACGGTACTGAACTCTATGGCAACTCTATTGTTGTTTAACTGGACTCTTCATCCTCTTGGCAGGCGCCGCTGATTTCGAAAATGAAGTATCCAGCCAGCTCCGGCACCGGCATCTGCACCGGCATCGCTGCCGCCGGCCGATGCTTTGGTGGTAGGGGAGCCTGCCCTTGCCATGTTCGGCAAGCTGGCCACACGGTTTCTTCCAGAGGCATTAGCATTTTATGACTGCTGTTTGCCCGCAATGGCATAGATTTTCTGAGATTGTAAAAGCGTGTACATGAATTCTGCTTGCGAGAAGATTGGAATGATGTGCGATCTTGTAGGCTTTTAGCTTTAAGCGTGCATTGCACTTGAGGTGGGCTGTGTAGGTGCCTGATTAAGGCAGCTTCGGCTAGGTCTACACTACATGTGGTTGCATTGAAAAAGCTCTCCACTTCATGTACAATCTCCTGTCAGATACTAAAGACCATGAATAAGCTTACCTGTAGGGATGTGGATACGCTAGGCTAAATCATACAGAGAAATATGATTAAAGCAGGTATCCTAATACATGCCACCGTCCTCCACTATCTCGTTTAGAGCTGGAGTTCCTGGTGAGGCAAGGTAGACTTGACATGAGTGGTAGAATGTGAAAGTACTTCTTCGCAGCCTACCTTATTTTTCTCTAGCCAAATATGAGCCTCAGCACGACGCGGGTCTTCGGATGGGTGCTTTTTACACACTTTTAAACGAATCAAGGCTCTCATGGTCGAAATGTAACGAACACTCATCTTCCTCTCCCTCGCAAACGACGGACGGTACTGCAAACACAGGATAAGACACCGACGAAATATTCATCTGAAAAAAACCAGCGTAGCATTGCTTCACTTTCATGGACACGGTCTTTTCCATTCGACCAGCAGAACGTTCGATGACGCCATAACTGGAGTAGGAATGCTATATTATTAAGAGGAAGAAAAAAGGAGTTCAAGTGCTATGTTACTCGAGCTTGTTCTATTGTACCTATCTCATGGCGCTACCAAATTGGCTACCATCTTGGTCTCGACACGAAAGCTCCATGAATCGACCTGTTTTGCCCATATGCGCAAAATCGGGTGGTGCAATCCCAAGCAGAACCCAGTCCAGTAGGGACTGCTAGGCACCTCATCTGTTTCTCGGAAAACCATACTCGTGTATCGGTCCACCATGAGTCCGCGTATGTCTTCCGAGAAGGTTTGGAGGACAGTACGGTTGGCCTGTTCGAGAGTCAAGAAAGTTCCGCAATCTATGTATGCGGGAGCATGACCAGCTCGGTCGACAAAGGCTTCTACTTGGAAGTTGTATCCGCAGTCAGGGTAGACGTCCATCCAAATGCGGGTGTTTCGGAAGATCTGGTCGGTCATGATCATAGGATAATGGATTCTCACACGACCGTGGGGCGTTTCTAGACTGACGGGTGTAGAAGAAGGTTCGAACCGACGTTGTATTGTCGGGATTGTCGGAGGTGCAGTTGGAGATGTCTGTGGTATTGCTGAGATTGGCCGTGGTGTTGCAGAAGGCAAAGAGGGCCTCGTCACAGGTCGCAAGGACGACTGACGTAAACTTGTGGTTGGTGATGCTTGAGCTCTTGCCAGGGCTTGTCTCCTTAGTTCGGAAATTCTGGAGTTGATGATCGGACCGTGTCTGGTCCAAGAAGCCATAGACGGGACACGCGAGTGTGACAGCGCAGCAGACGGCCTAGATGTTGACACTGAGCTTGAATGCAACGAGGGCACTGGAACGTTTTTCGATACGTTGCCGTTCAGCATGGGTACTGTTGGTCGTATTGACGACATATTAGAGTGGCGGTCAGCCGCTTGCTGAGTATTGTCTTGTGGGGAAACCAAATTGTCCGTTCTGTTTACAGCTCGATCTTCAGGTCGATCGCCCGGCTCTGTTTTGGTGGTGAGTCTTGCAGTGATCGGCGATTGAGCACGTTTGTCGCGCCTCCGTCGACGGGGTTGGCGATAGGCAGGAGGCCCTTGAAAGTTCGCGGGTCTGTTGACTTGAGCAGCAGTGTATGGTTGAGTCTTCCCGACGGCTGCTCTTGAAGCATTGCGTATCGCCAATCTTCGCGACCGCCGATGAGGAGAAGACCATTCCATGGGGATCTAGTTGTAGGGCAAGCAAGATAAAATCACGGGGAAGGGGACAGTGGGGTTCCACTACGAGTGACTCGGAACGTAGCAGTGTCGTAAGGTCTTTGCTGAAATACAGATGTCCCCAGTGTACAATATGAGATGGGAAGAGAGGTGTAGGGAGAATATAGGCGGTCGAAGAACTGGATCTCAGATTTTGGGAGCAATCAGACGATGAAAGTAGAAACCTGGAGCAAAAGCGCAACCGAGGCGAAGAGACAAATGATTGTATCGAAAGAGAGGTGGAAAGCATGTGGATGACCTCGTCATGGCGGCTGTTGGATCAAGTCTCGCAGACATGCAGTCTAGCTGATGGGGGCCAGATCGATCACTAAACCGGTCGGACAGACAAGCCTAGAAGTGATGATTATGTGAGTTCGGAACTGATTGGCAAGTGGCTAAGCACAGTACGCATTTGGGAACATGGCCTGCTGCAAGCAGGGAAGCCGAAAATGCATTCCATACCTGTACAGTACTGTACTGCACGTAAGGATCCACTATTCATGAAATACATTTCTGGTATCCCAGACCGGCCCCACATGGATCGATTGATATGGGGCCCATTGGCGGCACATGGCTTGACAGGACGAAGGGCGAGAGGATCCGCTTCCTGTTGTGACGGTACAGTATCAAAACGTGCCCAGCTGTCCAGGAGGCTTTCCCGACCACGCCAGGCAGAAGAACAAACATAAGTCCAAGTCCAAGTCCAGCCACCCACTGCAGAAGAAAAATATGGGGCTACGACGAGGCGACCCATAATAAACGAATATATAAGCCCGTCCATCTTCTCGTCGAGTTCCATTTCTTTTCTTCCTTCCTCATCACCTTCGGGTGTTCCGTCTGTCAGTCCTTCGTGGCGGCAGATGTAACGTCTTGACGCTCTTCGAGCCGACAGACAACCCCACGTGGAAGTCCTGGAGACTACACGTGATGTTCCTCGCCAGCATCTTCGGATCTGGCGGGTGAAAGCCTTCTGTTGTCGCTTTGCGATGGCAGCTTGTGCCGTCTGCAGGCTCTTGGAGCCTACGGATGACCCCACGTGGAAGTCTTGGAGACTACACGTGCTGTTCCTCGCCAGCATCTTCGGGTCCTGCGAGTGAAGCCTTCTGCTGTTGCTTCGCGCCGGCGGTTTGTGCCGTTTGCAAGTTTCTCCTGAAGCTTGCAGATGACCCCACGTGCAAGTCCTCGAGGCTACACGTGACGTTCCTCGCCAGCATCTTCGGGTCCTGCGAGCGAAGCCGTCCGCGACTTCGACTAGTCCGGATGTGTCATCTGGCAGGTTCTCTCGAGCCTGTCAGATGGTCCCCACCTGGAAAAGTGCTTCGAGCCTAGCAGGTGAAGTTCCTTGCGGGTGCCCTTCGTGGTAACTAGCAAGTGCGAGCCGTTTGGTGAAGTGCCTTCGGGCCCACAAGCGATGCCGTCTGAAAGTGCCTCGGAGCCTACAGACGATGCCATCTGGAAGTGCCCCGGGAGCCTACAGATGATGGATTGCTTCCCTCTTTTCCCGCAGACGTCCTATCTCCCTAGGTTTCCTGCGGGGGTCACAGATGTCCAAACCTGTGTACCGGCCAGCGAAGGCGGCCTCTGCAACCTGTCCGTGGTGCTGGCTACGAACCTGCTGTCCTGGCAAGAGCTCTTTCGAGTCTTTCTTGTCGGGGTCAACAGAGCCAATGCAGAGACGCATCTTGTAGAATTTGTGGATTTTCAGTAGCCATTATGGCATACACGTACATAGATAATTGAATAAACGCTGGTTTCGGCTTGGCCATTTCGCCAATGATGTATGAGCTCACGATCACCGTGTCCCATGTCTCGTGTCGTTTCCTCGCCTCTTTCTCCTTCTCTACCCTGCTTGGCTGCCCCCACTGTGTTTGACTGTCCATCAAGAGTATGTAAATAAATACAGTACAGTTGTGGTCGGTCATGGCAGCTTGGTCATCTCTGTGCCATTTCTGGTTTCGTCCTCGTCGCTGTCGCTGTCGCTGTCGCTGTTGTGTTGGCGACCAATCAGGGTCTTGTCACTGTCAGGCACAGAAACGAGAATCTCAGACAAACCTGTCAGATTATGGAGACAACTAGAGTGGCCGATTTCGTGGTCTGCAAGCAACGTGGATCAAGTGTGGAGACATTGCACCAATACTATACATAACTGGTTCTGCTTCCGTACAATCATGAAAGAAATCAGAATGAGAATAATCCAAAAATGAGCCAAGGACGTCCATTGATCAAATCTGATTCTAGTTCTGGTTGGACCCCACCAGGACGCTTTTGAACATCGGTGCAGTACTGCTTCAAGCTTTGTTTGCGCATTTGCATACCACTTTGGAGGCGTACGGATTTGTCGCGCTGTTCCTCCTCAATCAGGTATAGCGTTGACCACAACAAGCCGACCGATGCGCCTCTTCTGTACTCCCTGTCGAAAATGGGACGGCCCGAAAGAGGCCACCGATGAAAAGCACGACTCAAAACCAGGCCTGTCCAGCCACCAGAAACGATCGCGACAAATTGTGACAGCCTATTTTCGGCCTGACGAGAAGCAGCAGACACGGCTCGTTCCCGACCGAGTGTACAGAAATGGTGCACAACCCCCCGAGGTTTCGTGTCATGACTGGACATGATTCAGGACCAGCCTGTTTCTAGCATGTCCAGGCAGCCTGAGATGCCATTTCTTGGGCCCCTCTCCCCACAGCCTGGATGTCGATGTTCGGCTGGAACTGTCGACAAGCTGTAGGTCTGGTACGAATCTACTCCATTACCAAATGCGTCCCCCGATCGACTTCACCCTTCGAGTCGTAACGTTACAATACTGTCTGTACAGTAACAATACCGTACCGAAAGACGACACATTCAGTCGCAGGCAGGACTCACTGATACAGTAGCAGATTACAGGTCAGTCTTGTCCTGGTCACAGACACGGAGACGTTACGAAGTGAGAATGACGAACTAGACAAACTAGACAAGCCTGTATGGCAACGACACAAGATGGGCTGTGCATATTCTCTGTACTGCAAGTTCTGTAGTGGAATCTCTGTAGTGACATGTCTGTAGTGGAAGCTCTGTGTTGGAATCTGTGTCGAAAGACACGTCTCTTGTATTCACTACTTGACTATCTACTGCGTCTCTGCATTGGCTCTGTCATCCTGTCAAGACTACCAAACAGAGTCTCGGCCAGGACAAACAGGTTCGTAGCCAGCACCACGGACAGGTTGCAGAGGCCGTCTTCGCTGGCCGGTACACAGGAGTGGACATCTGCGACCCCCGTCAAGGTTCCTGCACGCATCACTAGCGGAAGACAACATGTCTCCAAGAAGTCAGGACGATTTCGACTGTACTCTCTCTGCTTGGGTTCGGGCTCGGGCCGGGAAATGCGCAAAACGATAACGAGCCACGCCTCACAATCGCCCACTCGTGTCGCCGCGCATGCCTGGGATCCGAAAGAACAAAAGACAGAGAGAGACTGAGGAAGTCAGTCAGACCAGCTGGATGACAGGGTCTCCTCGGCCTTTGAGCGTGCAAGCACGACGGGTCTCCTGCCGGAGTGGACATCGGTCTTAGGGGCATCCTGCCGGTATGGACATCGGATTGTCAGGGTATTCTTCCTGCCGGTATGGACATCGGTCTTAGGGGGATTCTTCCTGCCGGTATGGACATCGGATTTTCAGGGTATTCTTCCTGCCGGTATGGACATCGGTCTTAGGGGTATTCTTCCTGCCGGAGTGGTCATCGGTCTTAAGGGTATTCTTCCTGCCGGAGTGGTCATCGGTCTTAGGGGCATCCCGCCGGTGTGGACATCGGTTCAGGGCAATACAACCTGGAGGCTTTAAGCTTCTTCACAGGCGGACGACACGGGCGTGAAGAAGAAAAGAAAAGAAAGAAAAGGAAAATAGTGGGACGAGCGATGCCCTTATATATTGTCCCATAGTGGGTCCCTCATCTCACCCTGCCCCCCATAGACTAGTGGCCCTTGCGCGCTTTCATCCCAGAACCGGCAACTGCCAGTGACGGGTGCGCGGCCCGACCTCCTTGGAAGACTGCAAGGCATGAACGACTGATGAAGCACTTGACCGGTTCTAGCCAGCCATCGGGCATTGCCATAAGAACTGATCCGAGGCTACACTACTATGCCAGCCGGGGACTCATACATAGAGTAGTCATCGTGCTCTAACAGCCATAGAGGATTCGGTCTTCGCTGTTCCCAAGACAAGGGTCCTACTCGGGCTATTGTTTCTCCTGCGAGTTCATGCTTCTCTTGTGTGTTCTTACTTGGCATTGGCTCACTCCAGTCGCAGGTGACTCGTTCAAGAATGGGCTCCCACTGGTATTCCCGATGCCGTCATGTAAGTTGCATTACCTCGGTTCAGGGGCTTGGATCAATATCCCATATGACATTCCTGTTGCAAACCCTGTCCATCATCTGTCATCTCCGTCATCTCCGTCCTATCCCTTATTTGTCCGTCCTATTCGTCATCTCTTGTTTGCTCGCCTAACTGACTTGGTACCCTTGCCATTGATGTGACTGGTATATTTGATGTGACCTATCAAGGGACGGTAATGGTGACGCCAAAAATCTGTTCCGAGATGTTCTCGTTCTTGACTCCAAACAGGTCAACCTGAAACTCGGAAATGCCATGGCATGGATCGATACTGGAATGGAGCGATGATGTTCGTCCGGATCCCCAATGTGGCTTGGATCTACCTCAACCGTGCAAGACTACGACACTGGCCGCACGAGTGGATACCAGCAGGAGGTAGTGGGCCGAATACTGGCAACACCTTGACGGTCTTCACAGTCTTGTTTCGACCGGTCTAATGCCGCCAAGGAAGCGAGAAGACAGGTTGGGAATGACGGCACTTGTCATGGATTCCGATGCCGATGCACTTATCATCAATCTGCCCTTTTGCGTCCGTCAAACCTGCTCGACACCCCTAATGCTCGTAGCTTGGGATCCTCAATGCTCTTATGACCGACTTCTCCCTTTCCACCTAAGAACAACATCGACATCCGGCGTTGTTGGTAGCAGTATGTAGTATGTAACGTTCTACAACGTTCAGCTGTAAAATTGGAATAGTCGGTGGTGGGCCTGGTCGTCCATCCGTTGTTTGCTCTCATCGCCAGTTGTGACCCGACAGTCTGGTAAGCTAAGGAAAGAATGCCAGGGCAGTCGAGCGTCTTCTTATGCCAATCCAAGAGCACTGCCTCGTAATAGTGGAGACCCCAAGGATAACTGCATGACTGCTCGTGGCTGCTCATGTCATTGGTGGCCATCACACACAGCTCCGCGCTCAATTGATTGCATCCTTCTTATATTCTCCACGTACCGTGACACATGAGTCTAGTTCGCTGCGGGAGTGACTGGGGGTCGACACGAGATTTGGTTGCATTATCCTTCTCCCACGGCCCCAGCTTTCCACGACCGATCATTCTCGGCTAAGATAATGTACAGTATTAAGAACATCCATTCTACCGCAGTCACAGGTTATCGGTCACGTCTACGCAATAAGCTGCCTCTTTCTTTTTTTCTTTTTCCTCTTGTGTTTGTCTTTTTTCCATATGCAACCGGGCGTGCTCTTTATGAGATACGAAATTCGGGTTCAGACTTGGCCTTGCCAAAGGTCGTGCCGATACTCAACCTGGGCTAGCCAATTTTGAGCTCTGGTCAGAATAAAAGATCGGACTCATGGTGGGGCGGACATACCGTTTCTTGGCCCGCAAGCCAACCGCTTTCAGGGCTCAGGCAGGTCGCAACCCAACAAACACGTGGTTCTGCTGTATGCAGTTTCCGGAAGGGGGCCAACATTTGATTTTTGATCCACTACACAAGTACTGTTAGACTTTTAGAGCTTGGGCAGACCAAGGGAGATCAAGGGGGGTCAGGGGCGGTCAGGAGTGGTTAGGAGTGGCCAAAGTGGTCAATGTGGATTCATACCCCAAATAACGACGTTCAGTTCGTATGGCGTGCTCCACTCACGCTTGTTCTATAGTTTGTTCCCCATACTCGGCCATTTTCAGTTGGGGCATTCGACTGTGGACTGTCTCGGTACGTCTTTATCTTCCTCACGTATCATTTCCGACCCCTCTCTGCACTCTTCTACAATTGACACTGGGTACACGAAATGACTGTTGCATGTATTGTAATTTGGTAACCATGCTCCTAGGATATGTCAACAATGCCTGCCTGCTGCCTGCTTGCCTGCCTTTGGATTGGTAATGGTAGTTTCGTCCCGTCGAAATCAGGAGAGCCCAGCGGGACGCACTAGCTCAGAGGCCAAGTGGACCAAACGGGCAAAAAGTGCTTAACTCCGCTATCTAATCCGAAACCAGATCTCATTGCCCTTTCTGGGAGGGACGAGCTTGAGGAGGTTAGCCACGCATTTCATTGCCATACTTGGTTAGCTTTTACTCTCATATTCACGTCTCACTGATCTAGAACTGTGCATTCAGGTGGATAATATCCTACTCCTGAATGAATGAGGCAAGTATATATCGTAGGGGGCTAGAAACGGCTTATGGTGCACGAAGCCATGCTCTTGCTGCGACAAACACACTTTCAGACTGAGAACAGCCAGTCTAGGCTTTTCCCAATCTCGAATTATATTACCTGGTGCGGATAGCTCAAAATCATGACCCTTGTGGTGACCAAATCCTTGCCCATTACGTGGACATCGTTGTGTCACGTCTAGCAGCTGTAGGGTACACTATTGACATTCTTGATGAACCACTTCCACACCCCATCCCATTGCGGACACTGGCCATAATCATAGAGTGCACACTGCAATACTCCGATGCCAGTTCATATCGCTAAGCATCCGCCTTATTTATCAGCTTGCAGACAATTTCAAATGTCCTTATAGATAGCCATTTCCAAATCGAATGCGGGAAACTCGTCTTCTGTCTTGTTTACAGTCATTCATACTTGAACAGCATCACATAACCATCAAGGTGCCTAGGTCAGACTACGAACGGGACAACCAACATGCATACCAGGCCGCAGAAAATCAAGATTAGCAGAAGTGGCCCATCGCTTAAGCGTAAGGCCAAAGCCCTTGGCGAGAAGGCGAATGTTCGCAGTGTGCCAATTTCTCCGCTCGAATATTGAAAAAGATCATGGATTTCATGGCGTAGTGCAAAACTATCGACAAGCTACAAGAATGGGTAGGATGCATGAGGGTTATGCAACGGGCCAGAAACGTTCTGGTGCAAACAGGAAGAAAACCAGGTACGAGTAATTTTTCCCAGTTATGGACTTGTCGGAATAGATCGGCACATAAAGCACAATACTGTAGGGTACACTACTTCCAAAAAGTACAAAACATAGCGTGTAACTCTGCAGAGCTATTTTTGGTATGAAACATGCCCAATACCACTTTGGTAACATCCGACTGGAAAGCTGACACCACGACCACAATTGATGTGTCCGTCGACAATTGTCCTTTATTGTATCACTTTAAAACAGTCACAAAATGGGGCGATGAGCATACTTGTTGTCTCCTGCTCAAAAGGCAATCCATAAATGCCGTGGAAACCCCCCGAAATGTGTATTGTCAGTAGCACAGAATGTAGACAAAGATCCCTTTTCAGACCGTCGTAGTCTTTCGATATAACTCGAAAACGAGTAACTGGACATATGGGAACAATGAGTTAGTTTTGTTCTTTCTGTGTTTGACAACTTACTATATAATACAATGACAGATGATGTTGTTGTTGATTTCATCCATCTCGTTCTACTACCACGGTTCACAAAGGCTGCCGCAATTGTAACAAGCACAAGCATCATAGAACACTGCGCAACTCTCTAGACCTTTCATCACCACGATGCAAGCACCACCTCCGCCACGAGCTCGACGGCCACAAGCAAGAGCTCACCTGGCACAGCTACGCTCCAATGGTCGTGCTGTGTTTAGGGGCCAGGGTACTAAGCCGGCCAGGATGCCCACCAGTATGCCCACCAGCACAAAGGGACTGACGGCGTTGGCTCCAAAGCTTGTTCAACACCGAGGACAGCTCGCGGCCGATCCCCTGGCAGATACCACGACGCAGTATGTCAGCCTGCAATGCAAAAGATAACTACACTGCGATTGACATGGCTCAAGGCCTCCTGATCCTATACAGGACATGCAAAGGCAAATAGAGGACATGTCATTGCGATTAGACAATCTCTCTTCTCTTCTGACACAGTCCGTTGCAGAGTAAGTCAATCTGACGTTTCGTCTCCTCATTGTGCGATTGTGCCTAACTATTGTTCTTCAGGACGAAGGGCTTGTAAGTGTTGACCTTAGTCCTTCACCATCAAATGATCGGTAGTATCCGTACTGATGACGGATTTCTTTTCTATTCAGGAGAGAAACGGTTGAGCAAGGGTCAGTTACCTAGACAACTCTTATACAATTTGGCTATCCGACTGACGAGTTCGTAATAGATTCGAACATCAGAACGCAGAGTTGGAGACTTGGGTGATGAAGCTGAAGGAGGTCTTTGAGCCAGAACAGGAGGACTTCATGGACCCCTCACTATTCCAAGAGGACGCTTTTGTTCAAGAGTAAAGCAGAGGACTATTCGCAACGTCACTCCATCTGTTTTGCATTGTAAAACACTCCATTAAGAGATGGGATATGGTACCTGCCCAGAAGGAGATCCTTTTCGTCCGACCTGTTCTATACGACATCCAACGTGATGTGATGACTTGCATATTCTGCCAGCAAGGATCAGAGGTGCCTTCCCATATATATATATATATGTATATCTGCAGTAGTGATTTACAGCAGTCTTCCTGATGCAGATATCGGGTGCGGTTGGACCATATTGCCAAAGATCCTCATTCCAATAGGCGTCACCGTACGCTATGCCCCACCCGACTACTCCACCAGGGATTCTCGTATTGCTTGCGGCAGGACTAGAAACATCCCGCAGAGTCACTTCCACCATGGTGGTGAGTCGCGTCGATACTAATGCTCCCCACGACAAACGTTATTAATGACAAGATTGGATCACGCTCAAGACTCGTTTCCATCGTTTATCGATGACAAATGGTTTAACTTAACACGTGGAAAGTCTGAAGGCAACTATCTTCACACCGTGATCTTTCGCAGCATTTTCTTCACTCATGACGTTATGACGACTAATAAAAAATGCCTCCGATCTTCGGTAACCTCAAGTCCAGAAATAGTAAGGTTCCAGTCCAACAATGACAACACCTCCAATTCCATCAAATTGATATCTCCTAATGTGAACCATGAAAGGCGGTGATTGAACCTCATATAGCTGTGCTTCTCCCAGTCTTTGTTTATTCGATAGTCGTCATCTAGATATTTCGCAGTGATGATCAGAGTTGCAAGGAAAATCCGGTGTGCAGTACATCTAAGCGTTTCCCTAGTAGACTCGAGCTTGGGCTTTAGACGGTCTAGATATACCGTCGTCGCTATCCACGTGAGAATGGGGACGTTTACTTCCCGAGACAGGTGAGAAATAAAGTTGCGTAGTGGCGGCGGCGTGGCTGAGCATATTGGTTGGACTGATGTATTCAGCCGAGCGTTCCGGGGTATTGCGTTATACGTCTTCTGCACCAAATAGTCAAGAATAGAGTCGCTGAATGGCATGTACATCACTCGTCTGAGCATTATAACTTCGACACCTGGTTCATGCTGAGGTCTCGCTAGCCGCGACAGTCCAGGTTTTCGGTGGCTTTCATTTGATATTGCGATAATGTTCGAGCAGTAGTCAGTGTCCTTGGGATATTTGCGATCGATTTCATCATGCTCAGTCAGGTGTTCTACTGTATGGAGCTCAGCTGGTGGGATGGAGCAAAAGAGCAACTTGTCAAAGAGAACCATCGGTACTGTATGCCCTATGCTATACGGATCCAGAAGCGGCGGTTCAAAGGACGCATGGACTTCTGGAGCGGCAGATAACTCTTGACCGCCCTTTCATCCTGTTCCAATATAGGCTCAAGATTTGTTTATGGCCTCTGTGGGCAACTACCCGCAGAGTGCTAGAGCGGAAACCGGCTCGTGGTATGACATTCATAGCCACGGATTAATTTAAAGACGAAGAAACCCTGACTTCGCGGCACACTTCGACTGATCTTTTCTTACTTTGCTCCTGCTCAAGTTGTCTTAGCTCATTGAACTCAAATGGCGGACAGCCTAAAAAGCCTTGCAGGTGTTGCTACTTTGCCGCCCAGAAGAAGGCGTAACTTGTACATCAAGATGCTGATCGAGAACGACCAATCTGTGGATTGGTATTACGCCATCTCACCCAAGGTGCTCAACTGGACTTTGTTGGCAGGCTACATCGTTCTCCCTTCCACGTTCACGACCATGAATCGCTCCGAAGCTTTCAACACCATGATGGAAGATAACGAGCTTGTGCTGAAGGCATTTCAGAATCCTCCTTTACTTGGACTTGCACTGTTCTTGTTTATTGTTTCCCTGATAGGGTTGACTTGTATATGGTGGGTCTGGAAGTGCAATTATATCTGGAGTCTTAACAACATCATCACGCAAGTCCATCATACGTTCGTTTTGACGTTAGATTGTGACCGTTCTAATGACTGAATAGACCACTGCTCACAAACTCACTACTCGGCTTCAGCACGACCTTGCTAAACGTATACGCTGTGCGGGATGGTACATGGTCGGCCATCGCCATAGCTTCCATCACCGCAACTAGCTTCTGCTTACTCATCTCCATCCTTGCGTATACAATCTATAGTATATGGCTTTTGAAACCCATAAGAGCAGCTCGAGCCGGTCGGAACGTGGAAGGTTATAGCACGGCCGATACCGCGACCCACAGGAAAGAGTGACATGATATGGGCCAACCTCCCTAGCACAAGCATCACCTGGTAGATTAAATCCCCTGTTTCACTTTTGGAGGAGTTACAAGGCGATCAGCATCCGAATGGCAAAAGCCACCACGTTCCTTTAGATATATACACTGGCTGTATAGTGGCAATGGCTAAATATTCAGAACATGTTTCGATGTCTGTGTGAGTTCTGAGCCCTATTGGTCATAATGACGCGTTGCTTCAGAGATATCATCACTAGTTCAACCGGAATAAAATTGCGCACAAGACTTCTAGGTATGGCATGTAGATTTATGAGTGAAGACAACACGTGGTTAGGCGTTGTCAGTAGCCGAGGGAGTGAGTTAGGCTATAAAAGTACAACGATGTCGTCAAAAGTTGTCCTACCCTGGGTTGGTGACTACCGACCGAGCGCTACCGGCACAGCTGCAATGCTTGACGAGATGATTCATGGGCAAGAACAAGGAAGCTACAAATGGTCCAGGATACCCATCAGTCGCTACAAGGATTATGTGGGTCTAGCTGTTGCTGCAAGCGCCTACCCAGAGTTACTGAGCGATCGGGCGGTCGCCGAGCGGTCGCCGAGCGATCGCTATCGCTATCGATCGCTGGGGGTATTTCCAAGATTTGGATCGCCCGAAGTCGATCGCTGGATTCTACTTCGCGATCGCTATCGATGGAATTCGGGCCTTCGGTCGGCGATCGCTCGCCGAGAACCATAGATTTTGGGACCCCTGAAGAAGGACCCTTAGGTCCCCTAGAGCTGGACCTCGAAGAGTGCTGCATGGCTGTCTCTAACCAATGAGCCATAGCCAGCTGCCAAGATAATCTATCACATACAAAAAAGCAACAATTGTCGTAAATTTTGCAGGATGTTCCCTCCCCAGAGCGCGAAATCGATCGAGCGTTCGATCGAATCGACGGATGACTAAGCAATCGACCGCGATCGAATCGAATCATACACCTCCCGTCGTTCGAAATGAATCATTCGATCCGTTACTGGATTGATTCGATTCGAGCACGAGCGAGGAGCTGAAGATCGATGTGGTCGATTTCGGTCGATCCAATAAAACAGTCCAAGGCCCACAATGAAGGAATTATCAGTTAGAAACGAATCGGAGTTGTCGCAAACTATCCCGAAGCCGCTTGATTGGCTAGACTTCAATTTACAGTGGGTTTTTACTCAGCAGTCAACTTTTTGACACAGGTCAACGGCCAAACACTGAGCCATGCACTCGCGTACGTATCATTTGGGTAGCCGTGCCATTCCTGGATCAATCCAATCTTAGTCTCCATTGATTAGTTTGCGTGTCATCGCTGGCAAAACCGGTTGTACATATGTATTATTGTCTGCTGGGCTAAGGACCACCGACATGGACCAGTTTTTGACACCTCAAGAGCTCAATCCACGTCGCCGACCAGCAACACCCTCTGTGGCAGCCTCACAACTTACCGCGAACAATACGCTGAGTCCTTTGTCGCAGCTGGTACCGGTCGAAGAGCCTGCTGATACACCAACGCAGATCCTGACAACACCGGCTTCTCAGAACGATGCATACCCCGACTATCAACTTTGGTGCATGGAGTGGTGGTGCCGATTTCCTAGTTGCGAGTTAGACTTCAACATCAAGAATATGCGGGTCTGGTGGTGGGCTCATGGTTACCGATTGATCAACAAACAGTCTCGACTCCCGAAACACATCTGGGTGTGTTCTATCTGTGTTGCCAAATCGAAACCACCACCAACCGACACGTATACGTTCGTCTCGAGTACGTCCAAATCAATAGTCAACCACCTCAGGCGAGTTCATCGAATACGGCAACCTGTCCGAGCTGTCACGCAGGATCCTGATAGGGAACAGCCCGAACGGTCGACGAAGCGGCCTACCGTCGCGCAGCTGCTGGGTTGTGACATGGATAATCCGGCTCATCAAGATCTCGTTTCGAGGGTTCAACAGCTATATAACGAGGAGCTCTTTTGGCTTCTGCTAATGGACTGGATCGTCCATGACAACCTCCCGTTTCGGATTGTCCTCTCTGAACGATTCAAGCGTGTTGTATGGTGTCTGAACCCTTGCGCCCAGGTGCCGTCGGATAACACGCTCGTCAATCTGCTCGTCAATGAGTATCAGAAGGCTGTCCCTCTTGTCCGCCAGCTGCTAGGTACAGCTAGAGGCATGATCCACATAACCTTCGATGGCTGGACCTCGCGCAGAAACACGTCGTTTCTTGGTGTTCATGCCTACTTCGTTGATCAGGACTGGAAGAAGTGGAAACTTCTACTTGGCTTACCACCCTTAGTCAAGCGACACACAGGCGAGGACCTGGCTGATGAGGTATCTGCAATATTGGCGTATTTCGGCATTGAAGACAGGTAAGCCTCAACTATCGGATCGGATAGCAGATGCTAAATGTACAATGTGATCATGCAGAATCGGATACTTCACACTAGACAATGCCACGAACAATGACAGGTGCATTGAGGCACTATCGATTCTGTACGGTTTCGACGCCAACGAACGTCGAATCCGATGCGCTCCACATGTCATCAACCTAGCTGTACGTGGCATGATGTACGGCGACGGGTCGAAGAGAATAGAATTTGACAAGCTCCTCGACGCATATACCGACGAGGACTGGGTGGACGACCAAGATGATGGACAGGATCTCCAAGAAGCTATCGATCGACTCGGAGATGATGAGGAGTTTGATGAACATGACGACGAGGAGGCAGCTGAAGATCACGAAGAGGCGGCATTAACCCAGGTCGATGCGCTGATCCAAGCTGTCTCCCATGAAATGCCAGCATTCCTGACTGCTGCGGCTGTTGATAGATACCGCAAAACAGGGCCGTTTGGCAAGCTCCACAACATCGGCGTTTGTCTCAGGTTGAGCAGCCAGCTGAGTCAGAAGTGGTCCGAGGCTCAGCTCGCCTGTTATCCTGACCAGAAGGCCTTGGCGTGGTCACACAATGTGGCCACCCGCTGGCTCTCTGATGAGGGTATGGCTTCGAGGGCTCTTTCTAAACAAAGAGCTGTAAACCGATTAATATCCGACGTTGCCGATGCTTGGGACTCTAGGCCCAAGAAACAGAGGAGTGACAAACCTCCTGACATTCTAGAGTACAAGTTGACAGACGACGAATGGCTGGTTGTAGCTGCTTTGCAGAAGGTACTGGATCAGTTCAAGATTAGTTTGAAGACCCTTCAGGGCGACGGGATCAGCGGCCAAGGTAAACGGTCGACGACTGGAGGATTTGATGAGTACTTTCCACAGTTTGAACTGTTGTTGGACCACCTTGAAGTGGCTGTTCGTGGGTTCATCGTCCATGAGATCGAAGTCGATAGGAAGAAGAAAATGCAAACAGTGAAGATCTTTAGTGGTATGTCGCTCTACCTAGCAGTTGCCAACTTGACCTGCTGACTTTCATCAGGGCTTGACCGCAGATCTCGTCAGCTCCTGAAAGTGTATTTCAGGTTAGGTTGGAAGAAGCTTCACGATTACTACGAGAAGCTCACTTCTGTCGCTTACTACGCTGCGGTAGTATTTCACCCCGCTAAGAAGCTGGCTTACCTGGACCGTCTTTGGAGGCGCGTCCCTTGTAAGCAACGAATGGATTGGCGAGAATGGATGTTGAGAAACCTGAGGCGGCTGTGGGACGAGAGCTATAAGGACCGGTAAGTTTTGCCTCAGGCGAAAGGGCGATTCTAACTGCTACAGTAGAGTTGTGGGTAATGAGAATGCCGTGGTCGAGGAGACCTCGCTTGACTGGATGGATCGTCGGTTAGATTATCTAGCTTCCAATGATCCTTTATCCGACGATAGCGGAGACGATCTTCTCGATTCCTACGCAGCACATTCAGCTCGTGCTCGTGGCAAAGGGAGAGCCAAAGGTGGATCTAAGAACAAGCACGAGGCGGAGCGCGTTGGGACTGACGATGTTGTCGACGAGCTTGAGCTTTATCTAGCGGAGCCGCCAACACTTGTCGCGGCATATAAGGCGGATCCCATAGCTTGGTGGCGTGACCATGGCGCCACGCGCTTCCCGAGGGTCTCTTTTATGGCGGTTGATATGCTGACGATAGCTTCGTCAACAGCTGAGACGGAGCGCCAATTCAATAGCGCAGGGATGATGATAGATGCGAAAAGAAGCGCTTTGGCGAGAGCAGTGATTGGTCAATCACAATCTGTCAGAAACTGGAGTGAGTTGGGCATCTTCAGACCATCTTTTCCTATTCATCTATTGCAGTCAGAACAGTGGTTCGCTACGTTGCTGGATCAGGGCTTTATCAAAAGAGGTTCAGAGGACGATTTCGACTACGTGAGGGCATAGTCCGAAATGGCATGCGGCGTAAATGGCCTCGAAACTTGGGATAGCAATGTTTAATGGTAAATAAAGGCAGCAGACTAGGCGCTCGATCGATTCGATATCGATCATTTCGAACCTGAGGCTGCTCGATTCGATTCGACTCGAGCAACACACCGTTCGACTCGATAACGATCGAACGTATGTCCTGAACCCATCGATTCGATCGAGAGGCACCCTCAGATCGATCGGTTCGATCGATTTCGCGCTCTGTCCCTCCCTGCACTTCGCAGCGACTGATTGCCAGATCCGTAGATCGTAGAATTTATCAATAGCAATAGACGTCAGCAATAGTGACAGCAGCAAAGATAGTGAAAACAGCTCAATGCCCTTGAAGATGGCGAGCTCGTGTCTGACCTCACGTAGTCACACACCCTCTATTTCTTCGTCAACACAGCAAAGCTACCCAGACTATACGGTCTGGACCGCGGAGGCGTTTCAGAGGTATCCGGGCTATCTTGCTGCTCACTCCGTTACAAGGGAGCACGCTTGGTGGTGGAAACGTGGTTTTCGCCTCCAAAGAGCTGATCATACACCAACTGTCTTTTATTGGGTGTGTGAGCTCTGTTTTCTCGATGGCGCACCGCCCAAGGAGACGCGCTTCGTGTGCTCTACCAGCAAATCGATCACAACACACCTCAAACGGCGGCATGATATATCGGTATGCATAATGAGCTGATGCAACGCATTTAGAAGGTACTGACTGCGGTGACTCTCTGGTTAGGAACCTCCAAAGACACATACGAGTGCATCGAAGCTGCTCCGTCCTGGTGACCAACGTACCATCGACACCATGATTGATGCAACCAATCCACACGAACAGTCCCTTCACAACAAAGTCTCCCTTCGGTTCAATACCAAGCTCAACAACCTTTTGATTCTCGATTGGATAACGTGCACGAATCTACCATTCTTCGTCGTCAACAATGGTCGTTGGCGACGTCAGCAGCTGTACAACAACCCGTTGTTGAAAGACTCAGACCTACCGAGATACCAGACATTGATCGACCTCTTGATGGATGAACACAAGCAGGCAGTCGGTCCCGTCAAAACCCTATTGTCCACGGCGCGTAGCATGATTCATTTGACGTTCGATGGCTGGACTTCTCGCAAAATGGCCTCGTTTGTGGGTGTTCATGCGCACTTCATCGACTCGAACTTCAAGAAATGGAGGATCCTGCTAGGTCTACCAGCTCTGGTCAGCCGGCACACAGGAATCGACGTTGCAGACGAGGTTCTCGCTGTCCTTGACTTCTACGGTATCAAGCAGCGTGTTGGATACTGCACCCTGGATAACGAGTCGAAAAACGGCACCTGTATGGCAGCAATCGGTCAGCATATCGGATTTGACAGCGCCGAACGGCAAATCAGCTGTGCTCCCCACTCCCTCCAACTGGCAGTCAGGGCACTGATGTATGGCGAAGGCTGTAAACGCCTCGACCTGGATGACTTGTTGCTGCCTTTACAGGACAGTGATCAAGACGAGGACGAGTTCTTACGCGACGCTTTCCGTCGAGCTGCTGATATGGCTGATGTTGATGAGGTTACTGACGAAGACGAGGATTTCGCAGCTGAGGAATTCGAGGATGCTATTCCTTCCGACCCCGAACACTCCGACGAAGGCTCTGAAGCTAATGATGACTATGTCTTCGAATTCGATGGTGTAGCCCCCAATATCTTGACCACCAAATCTTTGCACAAACATGAGAAAACCGGTCCTATCGGAAAATTACACAATATTGGGAATTGCTTTAGATCTAGCAGTCAGCTTGTTGAGCAGTGGCACAAGGCCCAGCAACAGGTGCAGCCTGATCAACCCATCCTAGAGTGGGTGTACAACAATGCGACTAGATGGCAAAGCGACGCTGCTATGGTTGAACGCGCCTTGTCCAAGAAGCTTGCGATGAAACGGATGATGAACACACTCCAAGAGAACTGGGACGCAGCCGGGTCTAAGCCATACGAGAAACCATCCGCCCTACAACATAAGCTTGAAGATGGCGATTGGAGACTGGTAGAGGTTATACACAAGATTCTACAGCCCTTCGCCGTTGCTTCTAAGCTTCTCCAAGGCACTGGTGAACCTGGTGAGCGTGCCACTTCTGGAGGTTTCGACGAGTATTTCCCACAAATCGAGACCTTATTGGACCACCTCGAGATGTGCGCAGCGGACAAGTGCTACCAAGAAGTTGAAGATCCTGATGATCCCGGTGGTCCGAAGATCCAAAGCATAGTACAAGTATTCGAGGGTCTTAATCGAACACAACGCAGGCTTCTGAAGCTTCACATCTGGATGGGTTGGTGGAAACTGCAGACCTACTACAACAGGATGACATCTTTAGCATACGCCGCTGCAGTTATCTTCAACCCTACTGTGAAGCTATCCGGTCTAGCAGAGATATTCAACACAGAGCCTACACGCCAGCGGCCTACATGGAAAGACGTATACATGAATAAGCTGAACACCAGTTGGGAGATTTACAAGAAGAGGTGCGTGTTGTATCGACATAATAGACTTTTCTAACTGCTCCAAGGGATATATTAGTGCCCGATAATCTCACAAACGCGGAAAATACCCTCACGAACTACCTCGCCCGCCGGAAGCGCTTCTTGAGTAGTGTGGACGACGCTTTGCAACCCCAACAACCTGTTGCGAAGAAGAAGGGTCGCGGACGGGGATCTCAAAGCAATCAACGGGTTACCAATCCGCCTCAAGACGAGCTTGCGGTGTATCTCATGGAACCCCTGATCGATATTGATCACTACCACAACAATCCAGTATCATGGTGGCGAGACGTGGGTTCACGACGCTTTCCAAGGCTATCTTACATGGCTGTCGACTTTCTCACGATACCTTCGTCTACCGCAGAAACCGAGCGACAATTCAGTAGTGTTGGTACTATGATATCACCAAAGAGGTCTCGACTGCGGCGGCATCTTGTTGCGGCAGCTCAGTGTATTAGGTCGTGGAGCAGATCTGGGGTCTACACGCCTGATTTGCCACTTTGGATCCTAGATAGGGCCTCAGATATGGACTTAGAGCAGAGTCTGAAGAAGGAGGGCTTCTCTGACTATCTGGAATGATAGACAGCCAGAAAGGACTCTGGATACCTTCATTGATTGACCCGACTAAAAAATCTATGACCTTAATCATTAGGTCGGCGAGCGCTCGGCGAGCGTTCGGCGAACTATCGCTATCGATCGATCGATGGGCTATTTCTGAAGATTTGGATCGCCCGAAGTCGATCGCTGGTGTAAATGGCACGATCGCTATCGATGTCGGCGATCAGCCCTTCAGGGATGATCGCCCGATCGCTCAGTAACTCTGCGCCTACCATTGTGTGGGGAGACATGCTTCCAGATCAAAGCATACTCGAGGTAGAACGTGTACAGAATCTGCTCCAAATTACCAGGTCATTCTGTTTCTTGCGAGTCTTGAAGCATACCGAGGACCTTACTTGTGACTACGGTACTGATTTGAGTTTGTATTATACGAGTTCAAATTAGGGAGCCGGTAACACTAGTGTATCGATTCACTATTCCGGACCTTATTCACTATGAAGGTGTGAAAACATGTTTTAGGTCATCCGACGCTGTACACAGTATACATATATCAAGTTTTTTCCAATCAAGATAGAAGTTTGAGCATTATAAAAAGTTTACTTCGTCTCACTCATAGTTAACTTATCATTGTTCATGCTGTTACTTTTCTGTATAATCAAGATGGCGCAGCTCATCTTCAAGCCTAATGAACGCAGAGCAGTTCGACATATACGCAGAGGCATGATACCAACAATGCATAATGATAGAGAAGAGCATCATGTACAGCACGACAACGCAGTAGATGTGCGAACGGTTTCCGCCGGCACGTCCAAAGCCATGTCAGACCCGCAAGAGGTTGAAGACAGTAGTAAGTAACGCCAAAAACATGGCTGCAGACTACATTCTGATTTCTAGAGTAGCAGGTCGTTATCAGGCTGAGACAGGAGCCAAGAATATCTTGTCCCATCTAACCCAACAACAGATCGTTCATCAAGAGCAAGAACAGCTCCCCTTGATACGGCATGATAGCACTACGAAAGACATAACTAGTCTTTCGGACGTTCTGACTGACGATGAGACCATCAGCATATAGATCCTTCATCATCTCCAATGCCTTGTTCGGTCAATGAGGAGCATGATGATTTGAACGGCCCGCCTCAGTCCCCTCTGTCGCCGATGCCAAGTCCACCCGCTAAGGATGGATATGCGACAAGGGGTATGATGGGAGCATTGGCAAGCCCGGGAAGTAAGAACATTTTAGACCGGCGATATTTGATCGAACAGAGAAAGAGACACTGATGTACTGCTCTAGGTCGACTGCATCCTCATGGCACCGTGGGCGCACCAAAATTCTGCGCGACGTGCGGCTTCAGCACCGACGAACTACTACAGCTCTGCGAGAAAGCCTTGCAGTTTCATCGGCACGACAAGATTGCCTGGAATACGTTAGTTAATAATAGCCCTGCGGTATCTTCGCAGGAGAAGAATGCGGCCATGCTTAGGATTAGTCTCTGGGCGATCCGCGATTATGCATTGACTATGAGAAAGCGACTTGATGGCGGCGCTGCTGAAAGAAGCATAGATGGTTTCAAATTATTTGAGCCACCGATCGCGGCTTCAAGTGACAGTTCCCGAGGGACCGCCTGCACTACTCCACGAAGCCATCTGAACCAAACCTCTGATGTTGCACGTTACCCTAAAGAGAATGACAATTATTTGGGACACAGCAGGGATCAAGAATATGTAGATGTGGAAACCCGGGCTCTCGGCTGGGCCCCTTGCATTCTACGTATAATAGTTGTCCACACAGACCTACATCTACATGATCGAGGGGGGTCTCGAGTACGGGTTGCTGACTACCGGCGAGACCATTGTATTCTTGCGAGTAGACTGGCGAGAACCCGGCACACTCTTGTACCATCTAGCAGAGCCAGCTTTCCGATGCCATCTACAAATAAATCGAGTCTAACAGAATGTCAGATCGGAGTTGGCAGCAGAGTGAAGAGTTACAAGATAGGCAATAGGCGTGGGATAGATAGATTACAAACTGAACTCTGCCCTCCAACTAGTAGCTAGCCCACCCTCTTTTATTTAGCGCTTCACCACCGCTACGTCTATATTGCGCATAATATGCGTTGTCGTAGATCCGTTAGCCCGGTTTTAGCATGCCTCCCAGGGGCAGAATCCCTGAGACGCAGTTCATACGCTGCTGCTACAGTCCTTGATTGAGGTGTACACCTTGTTGCAATTCTGTCTGACACAGGGCATGGATCTCATATTGTGGAAGCCACCACCCACGAGAGCATTTGCGTACCTAGTAGTGATACATAGTAGTATCAGTGGAAGATCTAAACCGTTTTGGGGTACCGGATTCCTGCACCCTAATACGGCATAGTTCTGACCAAGCATCGCCTTTTTCCCCTTTGCATTCCTGCAACTTGCTTACAGCAACTTGTCGCTTTTACGGCCTTTTTCTGACCTCATCTATTTACGCCCTGTCCTCTGCTTTGAATCTGGATCTCTTCCCCATGGCCGTCTAGGCCGATCCTCATAGATAGTCAAGACAGCCAAGTACGTTAGGGGCAGTCAAGCACAGTCGTAAGCTCTTTTTATCTAAATTTCGAGGTCCTACCCGACCAGGCCAGACAAGCCACCTGTTAAACAATGGTATTATTGAGGACCCTCATCACCGTGTCGAAAAGCCACTTCCTATCAGTGATAAGAGTAGAGTTCTCGCACTGTGATCGAAGTGACTCACAACTATAGCCACTCTCTGTCGCCAACTTCCTGGTCATGCGTATAGCTGCGCCCAGCATGAAGAATTCATGGCGCAGCTGACACCTCACTCTCTCCTACCGGCAAAGGCGTGAGTGCTTTCAGTGTCCACACATATGCCTCCCCTCCAACCCTGCATCTAGCTAATTTCACGTACACCTTAATTACCAGTCTATCCCCCGTCACTTGCAGCCTCGCTCAGGCACTATGATGTTCATTCAATGGGAAGCAGTTTGCACTGCTGTCAGCTCGTTCAAAACTACAGCAAGGCAACCCGCATGAAGCTTTCGACTGTTCTAGCAGAATTTTAGCAAGTGTTATTTTCTTATTTAGCATTACAAACTAAAACTCACCTCGGACAATGATGATCTGTTGCTTTCAATTCTAGACACCGAAACAACCTTGTCTCTACGATCCAGAGCTTTTGTAAGATATGTACGTGGCGTTTTCTGATGAGACTTTGTATGCATCTTTCTCCATTCGAGATTATCTGAAAACATACAGTGTACTTCATGTATTGTGCCACTTCCTGTCATTGTCTCTGCATATATATATATATAAGAATGGGGTGGTTGCATGAGACTATTGATGGACGAAGTCGCTCCCAGTTGATAATTCCCTCCTACAATGGTCTGAAAGCCGAAGTGACGCTCGGTACCCAGCCACCCAGATCCATATAGCCCTCCTCCAATTCATCACAGGGGGAAAACTTGAAAGGAAACTGACGTGCTTCCCTGCTTACCCCCCTCCCCTGTCAAGGCAATTTTCTTCCCAGATCCCAGATCGGGGGGCTGGGCGCTAAGTACCACAACCCATGATAGGTGGTACGAAATTCGATCGTAAAACCAGTGTCAAGATTGTACACCGTCTTGCGCTTAATCAAGCTCCCGGGGATGGATGGATTAGTCGCAATCTCGATGTTACATTGCTGACAACGCAAACTGCGTTCATAGGGCATCATTTCGCCTGTATAGGTCACATCCGATGATTACAATACTGCAATCTAGGTAGTATCGATACTGTGGATTTTGTGGTCAGATACGCAGTGGAGGCGTCGTGTCGAATTAAAATAGTTCGTAGCATTTTGTTTATGCAAAAGAGTGGGGTCACACATGATTGTTAGTCGAAGGGACATGCAGGCGCCATTACGCAGTTTTGAGGCAGATTTTGCCTTCCGTCATCATTTTGTATATCTCGGTAGTTTCGAGATTCTATCTCTTCGTGCCCTCAAAATACTTAAGTATTGACTCGCCTCGAACTCCAAAGCGGCACTTGATATTTTTCAGTTATCACAACACGTCTCCAAAAAATCCCAGTATGAGTCCCTCGTGGCCATTCGCTCGACGCTTGCATCAGCTGAGCCGTGTCTTGAGTCTAAATGACAAGGCTAGCTCAAACAGTGACAATCCGACGAAGCGGTCAACGAATGCTTCAGCTGTCCGCAGCCCTCGCCAGGACCTGTCGCCTGCGACTCAAGAGCCAAGAGCGCAATCTCCTCCCCCGGCATATATAACGGTCGTCACGGACACATCAGTGCCATCTCTAGGTGTATCTCCACGCCATGACTGTTATCAGACAGGCATTCATCCAGCCATCTCGCGTGCACAAGCTAGCACAAAAGAAGACGAATATGCCTTCTTGTCTACGTTTGACACTGTCTTTCTCATCGACGACTCAAGCAGTATGACTGGCAGGTCATGGCGCGAGACACAACAAGCTTTGACCGCAATCTTGCCCGTCATCTTCTCTCACGATAAAGATGGACTCGACTTTTACTTTATGAACCATAAAACCACGGACTCTGGCAACCCTAACGAGCCTTGGAAAGCGAATACAGGTTACCGAAACGTCAAACGTGCTGAAGGTTCCAGTTTTCGTGGCGAGCAAATGACTGTTGAAGAGATATTCGACAAGGTTCGTCCTTACGGGGCAACGCCGACAGGTCAGCGACTGCAACACATCCTTCGACAATATACGAAGACGTACGAGGCTATGGTAAACAACACCAAAGACGAAACATGCCTCAAACCCCTCAGTATCATCGTTATTACCGACGGCGTTCCTAGCGATGAGGTTGGCGGTGTCATTCAACAAGTTGCCACAAAACTTGACAAACTAGATGCTCCGTCCTACCAGATTGGTATTCAATTCTTTCAAGTCGGAAATGAGCCAGGGGCTGCAGAGGCCTTGCGAATACTGGACGATAAGCTAACCCAGGACAAGAACTGCGGGAATAGCAATCAAGGTAGAGGAGGCGAAGTTCCAATACGAGACATAGTCGACACCGCTACATTTGACGATGATAGTAGCAATCCATTTCTTACGGGCGAGCGTATCCTGAAGATTGTGCTTGGTTCTGTCGTCAGACGGTTAGATGATATTGACAGTAACCTACGGGGGACACCTAATCGGTCTGCTTTCTGACTGTTGGCGCGCGACATGCTCGTTACACACTTTATTTCAAGAGCTACTAAGAAGTCCACGTTACGGAATACCGATAGCGAATGCTTATACTGCGGTTGTTGTAATTAATAAATTATAGACCTGGAGGGAATTTGAAATTTCTAATTGTGGGATAGAAACGTGGCATACCATAATCTTATACCGGACCTTCCTCGTTACCACTTTGCTATTTATACTACAAACTGCTCTTGATGGACTTTCATAATTGATTAATTAATTGCTTGGTTAATTGTATTTAACGTGGGGAACGTCCCTTATTAGGGCAAACCACGACTCCCAGAGCCATACATCGCAGGTTGTGGTGCGAGCGACGATTATCCAGCAGGGATTTTTGTATCTTCATGATTTCCACGGCTGACTCAATACATTGCCCTCTGGAGTGATTGGCATATGGATCTGACCTGTCCATATTTTCTTCTAGAACAGACCATCGATGCAGAACTATTTTAGCTGCGTGATAAATAATCGCTATTGTATACTGCAGCTGGAGAACCTTCACAGGGTCACCTGTGATAGTTTTAGGAACCCGTTGATACACTGCATCCAGCTCTTGGTCAAAGTCTTGAATGTCTTTGGACGTGATATCGTCTCTACCGAAAATATCTAGTGTAATTTTGGCTGATACATTCCGGATAGCGCTTATCAGAATGAGCGGCAGGACTCGTGTAAGCTGATCAAGTCGTCGTTATCCTGCCGATATGCTCCATCTAAGGAAATCATCCGGTCGATACTCCACTTCTTATTGTTCCTCTATTCTGCGCTAGGCTGTAGCATCATGATTGGTTGGGTTAAATTCTGCGCTAGGACAGATGACTGGCCGTATACTAGCGTCGGGAATGCGGCGTTACGTCCTGGACCTAACGGGTCCATATCAATGACCTTCTCGGAAACAAGGGTCCGGTACGAATCACTTCCCAGAATGATATGATCACATCCTAGAAAGCCCCTTGGATGCCATTGCTTGTAAGGATTGCTTGTAAGGTCTCCTAGCTGGCCACCTCGAGGGACTTTTATTCAGACACTAGTATTTTGCTAGTGTTGGGAGTGCGGGATAAAGTGCTAGGCCTGGAAAGACTGCGGGTCTATGTTAATCAACTCAACAATATGCTAGTCTCAGCGCAAGGGTGCAGTGCATCCGTGACGCTTCCCCGAAATTACATGCTCTCATTACAATAGCCATGAAAGCAATTGCTAAGATCATTATTCGTATGCCTTATTAATGCCCCGGTTATTGGGACTGTCGGTTCAGCGGGACCAGTCTCTAGGGAAGATCAAGCACAGTTTTATCATGTATGCAACTACTTCTGGATGTGGTCCATTTTTAGCCTATTGATACATTTTATCAACAATGGTTTGGTACTACTGTACATCAGTAATATAGTTACACAGAATAACTTGGAATGATTTAGTTTATTTAAAAGCTGCACAATATTCCCAGAAATTACATCCTCTTATATCACCATATACATTGTCAGTGGCCTCGCCGATATCGAAAATTCGTACTACTACATTCAAGCCCACCATGAGTACCTTCTCAGATCTGTCTTCGAGCTCAGACCCAGAGAGTTTGAGTATGCTCATTCACTTACCGAAATAAAAACATGAGCCATGCTAATTGTCTCTAATATCAGATAGTTCACAATGCATTACGACCACATCCTCCGATACTAGCCTCGCTGACACAGAGAACGCGCTACTCGAGGATCCAGGGCTTGTCAAGGATGGCCGAGTGCCCGACGTCACATCAAGTTATGATTTGATACTTTCCGTGGAGTAGCAAAGCGTGTGAGTGGCATTCAGCCAATGATTGGGTGTGCCTGTGGATAGAAGCAATGGTGCATGGCTACATGGGGAGGGTCCTACGGGGTTAAGTTGGGCTTGCATTCTTATTCTGCTGCACTCCTTAGATAGCGCGGAATGCGTAATTACATGATTGGGAACAGAATCTAATGACATGTACAGCTTTATCGAAGATGCTGTATCAAATATTGTTGCTTCTTACACTCCACACAGGCGACGAAGGGGGCCGGCAGTCACCTAAATGTTTGTGAACACTCTTTCCAATAATTGTTTCATTCCCGCTTACTACAGAGCTCATCCGACCTAGATGAAGGTTAACCAGGCCGCCTGCGTCATCGTAACTAGACGGCTTCGCATACTTACCGATACTCTGCTCTTGTCACATTTGGAGGGCAGACTTTATGTGTCTTTCCGTAGCTCGAACACCAATACTGCACACGAAAACGGAAATGACCGCAACAGTATTGGACCTGTTCGATATGAACATAGAACAGTGGGAGAGGAGAGAAGCCATACCTGTATGTAATCACACATCTTAGCACAATATTTGTGGCCCGGTGGAAAGAATCTCTAAATTACTTCGGAAGAAGAGATGGCGCAAGAACAATATTTCTGAAACTCAGTAACTTGTGAAGTCCTTGAGGACGGGGAGGAGTAGGGCTGGCTCGATGGCTCCTGAAATATGCATCCATGATGACGAGGATAATGACGGCTGGAAACCACGCAATGCATAGAGTCGTGCTTGTCCCAAATTATCTAGCTGTGCATAGATAATTAGGGATCCAAGCGATGCTTCACAAGGCCAAGCGTCCATGTTGCTGTCGTGGGGGCACAAACTCCTCATCTCGTAGAGTTCATCCCCAGTGACATCTTTGGAGGCTTCAAGCGCAGCTTTAAGTGCCTCACGTGAAGACGCGAAGAGGAAAGCCTGAAGGAATAAATTGACAATATGAAGAATACAGCGGATACGGTGCCGTTTGGGATCCCAATTGACCTAGTACGAATTAGGCAGCGATAGAGAAAATAGAGCAGAGAATTGGCTCACGTTGTGGTCCCGTTTCAGCATAATTGATAGATGCTGCAGGCACGTGTCGTTAGATGTCGCGTTATCGCCGGTATGACAGCCGAGCTGATCCGTAATACCGTAGAGGACGAGTGTTGCCAGAATAAGTCGAGACTGATGTTCACCGGAATGACTATGTCGAACTTCTGGTAGGCTCAGAAGTGCTCTCTTGGGTTGATATTCCCTATCAACCCATCTAGCACAGACTGCTAATACACCGTGACGGTGTGGCGATGTCCAGAGATCCGATGAGATGTGGATTTTTGAAATGGCGCTATTGAGCTTAGCTTTTAATTGCGACTGATAGAGGCTAAAGTTTGCAGTGATGTGGCGCATTGCTTCATGCCATGATGTCATGATGAGGTCTTCGATCGCGGGGTTGCAAGCAAGCATAATGTCTTGCATCTCATCCCAAGTAACTGCCGAAAAGGGCAGCCGTCGGCGTGTAAGAAGAGCAACCATGCTTTCAGTGTAGCGCTGGGGGACTGCGACGACGACGTGAAGAAACGTATCAGAAAACTTTTCCTTCTTTCTGCTGTTCTTTGCGACGAACACGGGAAGACCGGACGAATTGATTGGCGTGGCTGGAGGATCAGCCGACGCGAGGTGCGGGAGCTAAAATGGCTTCCGACGTGGAGGCGGAAATCGTGGTGGGGGTGTCAGACTCTATCGCGACGTCGACCAAACGAGCGACGCGAGCGACGACAGCCACTGCGGCGGCAGCGAGAACGACAAGACGAAGTGCCCCTGGAACTACGACAAACGATGACCCGAATGGAACTCGTGAAGACGGCGACCGGGTCGCCGGGGGACTTGCCCCTCAGAAAATGCTGGACATGCTGGTACTCTCAGCGCGACAAGGGAAAGAGATGAAGGCGGTGGTCATGCATCTGTCCAAAATCATTGAAGAAAGCAGCGACCGGCACAGGCAGGAGCTTAGCGCAATGAAACATCTGGTGGAACAGCTAACGACCGAACTGAAAAGCGTGCGGGAGGAACTGGAAGAGATCAAGGCCGGCCAGGCACTAATCGCAAGCACGCAGAAGAGCCCGCAAGCATCGTATGCAGACGTCGCGCGTACGCCGCCGACAAGCCAACCCACGAACGTGCGTTCTCTAGGCACAGGGAACACGACTCCTTCCAACTTCACGGACACACTATATTGCACGATCGACACCACAAGAGTAAGCGCGGACAGTGCGAACACATGGAACGCCGGAACGACAAGAGCAGCGGTAGAGAAAGAGATCCGATCGATGGAAGGGCACAAGGAGTGGAGATGCCGAGCGGTGACGATGGACCCAAAAAGGCCACAGAGAATCAAGATTGTTTGCCGAGACGAAAGCGAACACGAACTCGTTAAGAAAGCGGCCGAGAAGATGGTGACCGGCGGAGCAAGAGTGCTAAGAGATGAGTTGTACCCGATTAAGGTCGACAGCGTTAACCGGACTGCCGTGCTAGACGAGAACGGAAACATCCGCCAAGGGGCGGCAGAAGCGTTTGGACAGGAGAACGAAGCAACGGTGGCCAAGATCGCTTGGCTGAGCAAGAAAGAAGTGCCCAAAGCGTACGGATCCATGGTCGTCTACCTGACCAAGGCTGCAGACGCCCGAAGGATACTGGGAGAAGGCTTCTTCCACGCCGGAGGGGAGTCGGGCTACACGAGTGTGTTCGAGCGTCGCGAAGGCCCTGCTCAGTGCTACAACTGCCAGCGGGTTGGACACAAGTCATTCCAGTGCAAGAACAACCGGGTCTGCGGACGATGCGCCCAAGAAGGCCACGCACATAAGGAGTGCACCGAAGTGGTGCTCAAATGTGTCCCATGTGGCGGTCCGCACGAGTCGTTCAGCCGAAACTGTCCGAAGCTCTATCCTGTCCACCATGACTAAAGAGCTTCGGGTGGTGCAACTGAATGTGGGCCGACAGTCGACGGTGCAAGAGAGTCTGATGAATGACACGAGTATGAGGGAAGTATCGGTCGTGGCCATACAAGAACCACAAGCGAGAATGAAGGAGGGCAAGTTGGTGACGGTGCCGCGGGCACACTACGGGTGGACAAAGGTGGTGCCAACGGAGAACCGGGAAGGGAGATGGGCGATTCGGAGTGCGTTGTGGGTGAAGAAGGAGTTGGAAGCGGAACAGGTATCGATCGCGTCGCCAGACATGACCGGGGTGTTGATCAAGGTAGGGGAGAGAAAGGTGCTGGTCATCTCGGTGTATATACCGCCGACCGACCAGGATGCGCTTCGCGAAGCGTGCGATCTACTGCGGGTGGTGATAGACGAGGCACGACGTAGGCGAGGAGATATTGTAGACGTCATGCTGGTTGGGGACTTTAACCAGCATGATCAGTTGTGGGGAGGAGAGGAGGTGACGTTGGCTAGGCAAGGAGAAGCAGACCCGATCATCGACCTAATGAGCGACTGCTCCTTACAGAGTCTTCTGCCGCGGGGGACGAAGACGTGGGAGAAGGGCACGTCAGCGACGACGATTGATTTGGTGTTGGCCAGCAACGACCTGGCAACGCAGGTAGCGCACTGCACCACCTCGGAGGCAGACCACGGATCTGACCACCGGGCGATCGAGACAACGATAGACATGGACATGTCAGACCTCCGACCGAGAGAGCGACTGCTCCTTCGCAATGCACCGTGGAAGGAAATCAACAAGCGGATCGCGCACACACTAGAGACGTTGCCCGCCGGAGAAACAGTGCAACAAAAGACAGACTACCTAATGTCAGCAGTATCGGAAGCAGTACATGCGCTCACACCCAAGGCCAAAACATCACCCCACGCAAAGCGGTGGTGGACGTCGGACCTGACACAAATGCGATCAGTGTACACGTACTGGAGGAACAGGGCAAGAGCAGAGAGAAGGGCAAGTTGTTTCTCGCAGGCGCTGGAGGATACAGCCAAGGCCGCGGCCAAGCAATACCACACGAGCATTCGAGAACAGAAGAGAAAACACTGGGATGAGTTTCTTGCCGACGAGTCTAACATCTGGAACGCGGCCAAGTATCTGAAGTCGCAGGGTGGAACAGCATTTGACAAGATTCCTCAGCTGACGAAGCAAGATGGGAGTCAGACCAGCAACACGAACGAGCAAGCAGAGGAACTGCTGCGCTGTTTCTTCCCACCACTGCCCGGAGATATTGCAGACGAGGGGACAACAACAAGGAGGGGCGGTTCAGTCAGCATGCCTGACATCACGTCAGACGAGATTGAACGACAGTTGTTTGCGGCCAAACCCCGGAAGGCACCTGGTGAAGATGGCCTTCCAGCGGTAGTGTGGCAGCAGACATGGCCGGTTCTCAGGGACAGGATTGTAGCGCTTTTCAGACAATCGCTAGCCGAAGGTGTGCTCCCGCAGCAGTGGCGACATGCTAAAATTGTACCGCTCAAGAAACCAGGCAAGGAGGACTACACTGTTGCCAAAGCATGGCGTCCGATCTCATTGTTGTCGACCCTGGGCAAAGTGCTGGAGTCGGTCGTCGCGGAGAGGCTCTCGTATGTCGTAGAGGAGTACGGTCTATTACCTTCGAACCACTTTGGCGCGAGGAAGCGCAGATCGGCAGAACAGGCGGTGCTCCTGCTGCAAGAGTATATCTACAAGGCATGGCGACGACGACAGGTAGTGAGCCTGATCAGTTTTGACGTCAAGGGAGCGTATAATGGAGTGTGCAAGGAGCGACTCATCCAGAGGATGGAAGCTCGGGGCATACCAACAAGCCTGTCAAAGTGGATCGGTGCCTTCTGCTCTGACCGCACGGCCACGATTGAGATTAATGGGCGTACATCCGAGACCCATAGTCTGCCACAAGCAGGACTACCCCAGGGCTCCCCACTCTCGCCGATCCTGTTCCTGTTCTTCAATGCAGACTTGGTGCAACATCCCATCAACAAAGTTGGCGGATCTGTTGCCTTCGTTGATGACTACACAGCGTGGGTAGCGGGACCGACGGCCCAAGCAAATGAGGTGGGCATACGAGCGATCATTGACAGGGCTCTCGACTGGGAACGTCGCAGCGGAGCCACGTTCGAGGCAGACAAGACGGCGATTATCCATTTCAGTCGGAAGGCAGCCAGAGTGAACAGTAATCCTTTTCTGATCAAGTGCGAAAGGGTGTATCCGCAGGACAAGGTCAAGATCTTGGGGGTCACGATGGACTCTCAGCTACGGTACAGACTGCACATCGCACGAGTGTCGAGCAAAGCGCTGGAAGCAGCTATTGAGCTGCGACGGCTGAAGGGACTGCCACCGGCAACCGCCCGACAGTTATTCACAGCCATGGTAGCTCCGATCTTGGACTACGCATCGAACGTCTGGAGGTATGCCTGTGGTGATCGACTGATGCACGTTGTCAATAGAGTGCAGAGAGTCGGGGCTCAAGCAATAGTGGGCGCGTTCAGCAAGGTAGCCACAGCTGTCGGCGAGGTGGAGGCTCATATCCTGCCAGCTCGAAGTCGTTTCGCCAAGCGGGCAATCAAGCTCTGGATCGACATCCACACACTGCCGAGCAGCAACCCACTTCGGACGGCAGGGTTTCGGATGTTCACGCGGTTCATCTCACCGATGCAGCAACTTGCAGCAGACATGAAGGACGTGCCGATAAGCAGGCTAGAGACGATCGATGCCTACGCAGTGGAACCGTGGACTGAGCGGGTCGAGGTAACCACCGAGGAGAACGACAGAGCCATGGAGCTAGCCAGCGGGCAACGAGCAGTCCGCATCGCCGCCAGCAGCTCAGCCAAGAATGGTCTGGTCGGGTTTGGAGTGGCTATACGGCTTCCAGATATCGGCTGGGCCAAGACCAAGTTCATGCTACACTCTGTGACCCTCGGGACGAGGGAAGAACAGAATCCCTACACGGCAGAATTGGCCGCAATAGTACGAGGGCTGCGCAAGGTGCCACAACACATCCGGCAATGCGTGCTCATAGTGTTCACGAGCAACAAAGGTGCCGCACTGAGTCTTGGTCGACCCTGGCACCAGTCAGGCCAGAAAGATATTGCCGACTTCTACGCGTGCGTAAGCCAGCTTCGTAAACGGAGAAACAAAGTTATCGTCGTCTGGATGCCACAAGAGCAGAAAGAGAGCTACGGGGACGAGAATGTTGGCAATGACACGAATAACGATAACAGGAATGGGAACACCGCCCTAGCACGCCTGGCCAAAGAAGCTGCTCGCAAAGCTACCCTCCCCGGTAGCTCAGTACGGACACCACCATACCGGGCCAAATCAACGACATTAAACAATGCCAGAAAGACACAAAGTAGAACGCCAGTATTACCAGACAACGTCGGTGCATTCTCCAGACGGATTGACACTGCTTTACCCGGACGACACACTCGACTACTGTACGATGCATTGTCATGGAAAGAAGCCAGCATTCTAGTCCAGCTGCGGACAGGAATGGCCAGGCTCAACTATTATCTAGCTCAGATAGGCGCAGTCTCCTCGCCAGAGTGCGCCTGTGGACACGCAAAAGAGACCGTCGAGCATTTCGTTATGCACTGCCCCAAGTGGACAGCCTATCGCAAAGAGTTACTTCAGTATACGCAAGACCGAAGAGGAAGCATCTCGTTCTTCCTGGGTGGGAAGACACACCGTGATGTCGATAAATGGACGCCAGATCTTGAGGCAGTTCGAGCCACAATTAGATTTGCAGTCGCCACAAGACGGTTACAGCTGACGGTGGGGGAGAGCAGTGATTCGGCATAGAAAGGACAAAATCATGTATAGTAGCAAAGGCATCTCAAACACATACTAACCCAGCATGTCGCGCTTCAGTCGCCGAGGATAGGACTCTGAACACTTGGAGGAATCAACTTCAAGCAGAAATGCTGCATACTAACCACTAACAGTATCAACAGGGATGTCACGACAGAGAAATGGATTGAGACAGAAATGGAACTGACCATGAGTATGGGCTCAAGTCGGAGTGATGACGGAAGCTTGGGTAGCGTTTTTGTACTATAGCGTTAGTTGCCCTCTAGGGGAATAGCCCGGGCGTAATAAACGTGTGTGTGTGTGTGTGTGTGTAGCGCTGGGTATTGAATACCTGACGAAGGGTTGAATCCGATGGGCTGACTGTATAATAATCACGAAGCCTAGCCTGCTTTAATGGAGGGCCAGTGTCTGATGACCGTTCGAGTATGGTATTATCTGAAGTGTTGATTCTTCGCATGGTATACCGCATTGTCTCGTTTCGGATTTGACCATGCCTGATCAGAAGAACAAAGAAGGCATTCATAAACCACAGGGCCTCTCGTTTTCCGTTTTCCCGATGGCCCTGTCTGACCCTTGTTTGGGTACGTTGCACGGAATATATAATCAAAATTCAGAATATCAGATGACGCTGATTCTGCATCATATGCAGGTTTAACACTCATCTGGGACTGCGAGACGCAATCTGACAGTCGCTGTGGTGAGGATGCCATACTTAGTACGATCATCTAGTAAACATTTGAGAATCGTTATAGATCACTGATCCACCATTAATCAAGCGGCCAAGATGAGTTTCTGGCCTCACCGCTCTTGACAGTAGGGAAATATGGGTCCTGCTGGCCAACCATCCAATCACAAACAGCAGGTTATACTGATATCTATCCTGATATCAGGATAAGAGAGCCTGACGTTATCGGATATATGATATATATCATATCGGATATAGCAGGATAGCAGAGATGATATCAGGATAGCGTATCAGGATAGGCAACTCTGGTCACAGCAAGTGCACGTGACAAAACGGCTGGACTCGGTGGCGTCAATACATCGTACAACAAATTTGCTTAATGCCAATAGATCGTGAGCTTACAACCCCTGTTGTGACGGTGAGCTCTAAAAATGCAGCCATCCTGGTCAAACATCTCCACATGGTGGCTTAGACCAAGTGTGTGCGTTGAATAGCAGCAGTGCGGTACAGGATAAGTGGGAGTGATGTGCTTAGAGTGAATACAACTTCATGCAATAGGTTCTTGAACAAGTACTATGGTTGTAGTTTTCTGACCAGAACATAAAGAAATTTTAGAGGTGCGTTAACTACTAAAGGAAATATGACAAGACGTCCATTCGCACCTTCAGTTTCCCATGTAACCACTCTACATTGATCTCGGTTCTCCCCCCTGAACTCTCCACTTCGGCAGTTGCGCACCAAGTAAACTCCAAATTGATTGAAATTTCTTTGCCCGATCAATGCGGTTGCTACGTATGTGCCTTGCTGCTCGATCCACTACCCAATACAAGTTTTCTTTGGAATCTTTGAAATCCAGATTTGCAACCGACTTATCGTTATTAATATCTGAGTCCGTAGATGGTGATTGCTGTAAGAGTAGAGTCGTTAAACACTCCTCCAATACGTCCTTGTCGCCACTGTACATCGTGTTAGTTAGATGCTATATACGTTATGGTTATCGTCTTACTCCCTAGTAAACCAGAGGTTTGGAAGTCGAGAGACCACATCGTGTATATAGGGTCTCATAGCGGTCTCATTCGTCTTCTTGTCCTGTAAGAGATCTACAACGCATGAGAAGGAGGTGATCCAATTCATCCTATCGATGGGCTGAATATCTTTGCAAGGTGTCAAGGCATCGCTACTCGCTCTCGCGGAATCCACTGGGACCGCCTTTTCTGGATCTGACTGCAGGATATGGATCACATCAGCGTTGAGTAACTCTTCGGGAACATTGAAGTAGAAATCCATCTTTTCACAGTAGAGCTTTCCCGTAAATTGGCCATCTGTGGGATCAATGGTGGCCCTTAGGCCCCATTTTTCCAGTTGTGATTTGTCAATATTGACCGTCATTTTAAAGAGAACTGTGTGTTGGTATTGACCTGCCGTCGATGCTGTTTTTACGGATGTCAGACGTCTTTATAGACTAAAGAAGGGGGCACAAAAAGGGGGCAGAGAAGGGGGCACAAGAATGGGCACAGAAGGGGACAGCAGCGCTAGACGTCAGCATCGTTGTGCGTAGCCTGTTACTCATTTCATGCTAAGTAGTGTCATTCGCACTAATAATCTCCACTTGAAATAGTCCCATATGAAGCATATCCAGGGCCAATGTTAGAAGATATGTGTCTTGTTTGGGAGGGGTAGTGACTGTGAGGGACTCTAAGATATTGTCAACACGACTAGCTATGCCAGCTTCCAGCAAGTACTGCAACCTCTGTGGTTCTTGCACCAGTCCTGCTCTCAATAAGAGCTACAGAAAGGAATCCCAGCCAGTGAGAGCCTTGATTTGACGAACTATTCTGTCCAAAGGCCCTATATTACTTTTTTACTCCTCCATCAACCACGTAACGTTAGAAATGCAGTTTATGCCTCGTGAAGTAGCTGGGTCCGTTGCCGTTGGGCTCAGCAGTCCATCAACCTGGTCCAGCCTCCATCTGCCACCGGAAGCATGAAGTGCGAGAGGTAGAATTTGTAGTATATCAATCATAGCGAGATTGCAGTCGGAGATATCCAGTATGTGAGCTTAATCTCGGTCAAGGATTCAGAACAGTCTCGTACAGGCTAAAGTTGTGTGGAAGACATCTAAAGTTACACTGCAGAACGGAAAGACAATCTCGGTGCTCACCCTAGTGATACATAGTAGCATCAGTGGAAGATCTAAACCGTTTTAAGGTACCGGATTCCTGCACCCTAATACGGCATAGTTCTGACCAAGCATCGCCTTTTTCCCCTTTGCATTCCTGCAACTTCAGTGCTAGTGACAGAAACATTTGTGTTGACAGGGGAGATATTGTAACGATGAACACGTTGCCACAATCAGCGCTGGCCAAAATCCAGTACCTGCGTTGCAACGTCGTCAGACCGGTAGTGTGCAGGCCACCTGAGTCTAGACTCTACTTCTTGAATGGCCTAAAATTACTTTTCTGCATTGTTCATTCGGCTTCGGACTTTGTAAGCCGGGTGGTTTACATCTGGCTTAGCTGCAAATAAAGCTCAGTAGCACCTGGCAAAACTTGGCCTACTGGCATGTGCACCGCCGCTTCCATTTTACCTTGGCGGGGATCAAAGAAGATGACGGAGCAAAACACGCCCATTGCCCTCCCAAAGTCACTAGCTTTGTGCTTGAGTTGTTCAGCAAGGCCCTGTAGCTCGCGATTCCTCACAGTCACTTGCTGAAGGCATGCCGGAGAGTGGTTTTCGACTTCACCCATTGGCTGGGATGCCCTAGCCGGCCACAGGGCTCCGGCAAGTTGTGGAGTAACCATCAAGGCTTTGAGCATACCGATCCCTTTCTCGATATCTTCCACTGCATGTTCTTTTGTCGTATGTAGTTTCGCCACAAGTGACTCCGCTAGTGAAGAGAGTTCTTTCTTGTGCTGCACTCTCTCCATCCGAGACTCTTGTAGCTGCGCTTGCAATTGCTGTTGGAGCTCGTCTTGCATGTTATGCACTACGCTTTCAATCAGCAAAAGCAAGGCTTGAGAGAGCTCGTCTTCCTGTTCGACTGCGGCTGTCTCGTCATTGGGAAGTGTTAGATCGTGCGACGGTGCTGGGCTGGAGAACAAAAGATCCCTCTTATGTAGATGGCGTTTACTCAATTGATTGCAGGAACTTTGAGTATTGATCTCAAAGGGGAGATTGGAAGACAAAAAGAAGAGATTGGAAGGGAGAACTATGCACTTGCAAAAGCGAAGAGATGGGCTTTATTAGGGTGACGGAGGCGTTGCTTGAGAATGGTAGGAGCGCATCTAGGCGTCTAACCTGGGACGGTCTGATAGATAATCCATAGGGAAATCGTACAGTCGATACCGGTTCAATACAACAAATTTCATGGACAGTTGCTGTTGACTGGGGTGTTGGATCTGGGTAGAAGGAAGCATTTCTACCTGCCTAGTTTTAATTGAATGAATGTTCAACGGACGACAGATCTCCAGAGCAGGTTGGCAATCCCAAGAGACGGCTAGTGTATATGTGATCAGAAATGGTCCTTGTGGAGGTAAAAAGTAAATGGACAAGGCCGGATTTCATAACCCTGTAAGCATCCAAAGCAGAGGAGACTAGAAGGAGGCCGTAAAAGGAAGCGACAAGAATGTATTCGCAGCAGATGTCGACATAGACTGATTACTCGTTCTTGCCACACCCGTTGGTCCACGATATGTAGGTAGACTTTCGTCGCCAATTGCATGTTTATGGTCATCAACTGAGCGGACCGATGGCCTGCTCCACAATCCGTTTCTTGGCCAGCAAGCAACTGCTTTCAGGGCTCAGCCGGATTGCAACCTACAACACGTGGCTTTGCTATATGGAATGGTCAATTTCGGCACATAAAAGTTGGGAACCGGACACTGTTGTGCTGGCGCGGTCAGAAGTGGTCAGTGTGGATTATATTCCAATTGAGGACCTCCCGTAGGTGGCCACTTTCGAGCCGGTCTATTTTCGCTCTTCGACAAACCACGGTTACGCGAATAGTTTCGCAGTCAGCTGTTATCATGGAGAAAGAATTGGTCCTTGGCACTAGATTCCGTCCACCAACCATAGCCTTCAGAGCTGATTCCGGTTTAGACCCACGAAGGCACTTTTCAACGCCGGTACTGTACTCCACAAATGACGCTCCCAAGCACGCATCTGCCTCAACATACCTCACCCTCGTCAAGACACGGACCAAACTTCGCTCTCAAGGCACCTGAAGCTGCGTATAGCCAGAGAATTGTGGGAGATATTCAACAGCTTGCGGTGAGACCTTTTTCTTCCCGACAAAACAAGCCGCTTGATGGCAAATCCGGCTGCGTTGATTGAAGTAGGCGTACACCTTCAGCCCTTGCTGGATGCAAGCCTGGTACTAATCGTTGCAAGCAGAACAACCACAAGTACACCTCAGTGACGACGACTGCGATGAAGCCGAGCTAGATCGAGCAGAATTCAGGAAGAATGACGAAGGTGACGACATGGTCGAAGATCAAGCAATGCAATACCCAATCGCTACTATTGAGTTATCGGATGCTGAAGACCTCGACAGGAATGGTTTCCCCATTCCTTCATTACGGCCTTTATTTTCGATCACAAAAACGTCGCTCAGCAGGGTCGAGGATCCTCAGGGAAAACTCGACGATGCTGCTATTTGTGGCGCCTTAGAGGTTCTACAACAAGTCGTAGGACGTGACCGACTCCGATACGTGGATTCCTTGCATCTTGATGCATCGGACCATATTATGACAGACTTTGCGTCTGCACGGATCCTCATTCCGATCCATCTTCCGAAGAGAGATCATTGGGCATTGGCATTCATTAAAGAGTTTCGTGAAGAAATCGATGTCTACGACTCATATCCGCTCCTAGATGATCAACGTAGCGTTCAGGAAAAGATTCTAAAGTGGTACAAGATATCCTTTGGAGATCACAACAATACGGATGTCACAGTCACTGCACCTCGGTGTCGGTGTCAGACAGATAATTTCGATTGCGGCCTCAACATTTTGATTTTCTCGTTTCACTTGGCGGTTGGTAAATCTCCGCCCAGTAGAGCAGACAGTATACACTGGCGCCGTCTATTGTCTCAGCTTCTTCAGCCTTTATCAGAGCAAGAGAACGAGATCGTCCACAGCAAAGACAAGAGCATTAAATCTGTTCCAGTAGAATGTGTTCCCTTCATTATGCCCATACCACAATTTCCAACCTCGACAGAAGTCTCTAGCAGAGGCAGCGCGACAATTGCCCAGATCCAGGTCATGGCAACGGAATACTATAACTTCATGAAGAATTTACCCTCGATTGTAGGAGCAACCACCAGACCCACTGCCAATAAAAGAATCCACGCACGTATCATTGATACGCTTGCTCTTATGAGAAATCTTATGAGTTTTGCTGGGGAAGATCCACAGTGTTTGGCAGTTCGGGAAGCTGTGGTCCGTATCTCGCGTGCTATAGCCTATTTACAGCAGGCTGCGGAAATCATCAAAGCAGAACCGTGGAAAAGTCAGGGCTAGTGGTACAACGGTATTGAAATATTATTAGAGCTCAGGTACCAACGATCTCAAGTCATCGTTCGTGTGGGTTTAGCGTTCCAAGTATTCAGGGCTCATATTCAAGTGGCAATTGGGCAAGCTCGGGATACAATACTTCCACACACTATTGTCCCACACCACGGCCTAGAATGGTCCCGATAGCAAGCTCTTCGCAGAACAAGATCGCAAATTGAGCTATGCTACTTCTCGCATTTCTTGCCATATTAAAAGAACTGTTTGATTGATATTTTGCCCCATAGTTAATTTGAAAAAGATATACCGCATCGGAAGGTGATGATGCATTTCATTTAGGAGAATGCAACATACGTATAGGTCAGAGCTAGAAGCGGACCGTCTGTACTTAGAGAAGAAGGCAGAATTGATTACCTCTGTACAGAGCTACTGTGTATGGTGGTGCTGTAAGCAACATGTGAATGCGTTCTTCTTGGTTATGCTGGTTGCGTGATGGTTTAATGGAAGGGTGTCCTTGGAGTCCTTCGTAGAGAACATTCTCCATCTTGCGTATCCCCATGTATAACTTTCCACAAAGTCAAGACCTTCTGACTTGGTCACCACACAATGCGGTCACCGCTGGAATCGACGACGCTGACACCATTGCCAAGTCAACTGCGTTGCCGTACTTTCCGGCTCGTGTGTTATCATCATTATGTTTATGAGTTCTACATTCCTTGATCCAGTAACGGCTCTCGCGAGAAACAACGTGCGCTTGATGCGGAAGTCAATTTCGTTATCAGCTGTAAGTTGGCCGGCTAGCAGAAGACTCGTTGACCACTGGATACTTTACTGTACAGTACTGCACCGTTCGTCCAAGGGACCGGGACGAAAAACGTGATACAGTACTGCAAAGCACAGTATCCTATCAAGGTCATGGCGAAATACGTACCTGGGTAGCGGAGAACGGTTTGGCACGAGGAATTGCTTTTGTTGGCCCAAAGGTGGGCCGCTGTTGATGTTGCCGTCTGCGATCCGTTTCCGTACCGATCGGACTATGTGGTACAGCTCCGCATGACGGTAAGTGTCCAAAACTGGCAGTACACTGATTTCTAGTCATCTTCTTCCTAATTGAACCAGCAAGTCCAGATGCGTTTCTAGCAAAAGGCGAAGTCGCGAAAGGAAATACAAGTGCGAAGATGCGAAGGTACAAAGGTGCGATTCTGCGATACGGCGATAGTGCAAACCTACTCGTCTCGGTCCTTGATTGAGCTACGCCATCAGCGTTCCCTTCCCCTCCTAATCACAATTGGTCACTTTCTGAGTAGTCTAATTCCCATTTCCGTCCAGTACCTGACAGCGACAAGACCCTGGTTTGTCCCCACCACAATGGCGACAGCAACGAAACCAGAAACAGCACATGACGAACAGTGGATGTAGGGTGAACAGCTATTGGGTCAAGACTCGTGTGTATGTTTCTTATGATTGAAAATGTACAGTAGAAGAGTTGCAGAGTGATCAAGTCCAAGTGACAAAACCGTTGCCTCCGCCAAGATGCATACACTTAATTGACTGTCATTAGTAGGAATGCCTAAAAGATATGAAAAAAAATTTCGAGCCTTATTGTTCACTATAGCTCGCAACTCGAGGTAGAATTTCACTCATTCAACTCGAACGAAATCGTGCACAGGTCGTTTAGGTACAACAAGTTGATCTAGGAGTGAAGGACAAATTATGTACAAAAAGGTACCGAAAGCTCAAGAACGTTACAATGGAGCAACAGTGGGCTTCCTATCGGGAGCTAGACGTTGGCACACGGAAATGTATCACAAGCTACGATGGTACAACGACGTCGTCGAAAGTCGTCCGAGTCGCTCAAATCGAAAGCGTATTTGGGCCAGAGCGGATACAACACCTGCTCTGCACCACCTGAGAGGCCTCATTTGGGGGCTACCGTACCGATTTGTAGTTTTATTGCACGAGTTTCCATCACGGTCTATCTGATTGTAGCTTATCGATTCTCTCGTCTGAATCTCGTCATTATTATGATAGAGTGAAAGTGTGCCGTAGTTCTATACACTGCTAATTATAAATATGGTAAATTGCTTTACGATCAGTTAGAAGTTCGAACTTCATCAATAAATCTTAATTTCGTCCTACTCACATTGACTTGCCGTCATTCATGCTCGTAATTCTCTGTGTCATGAAAATGGCGCAGCTCGCCTTCAAGCACAATGACCGTCGAGCATTTCGAGATGTGCACAGAGGCATGACAACGACATCAATGCATGATCGGGGAGGAGAACATCATATCTCGCTTGGCATCTCAGCAGATATGCCAACAGTCTCCCCCATACCGTCCACATCAATGCCTAATCCGCCAGAGGTCAAAAGCCATGGTAGGTACGCGGAAAGCCTGACTGCAGACAACCTTCTAACCCTGAGGAACAGCAGATCGTTGCAAATTCGAGACCGTAGCCAAAAAAGACTTTTCCCATGTAACCCAACCCCAGATCGTTCATCACGACCAACAGCGACTTCCATGGACGAGGCGCGACAGCACGGCGAACGACACAGCTAGCCTGTCGGACGATCTGACCGACGATGAGACCATCAGCATAAAGGCCAGCACCATAGAGCCTTCATACTCCCCGATACACTGTCTGGTCAGTGAGGAGTCCAACGGCTCGCAGCCGTCCTCCATGTCGCCGTCGCCAACCCCACTCGCTGACGAAGGAAATGTGACAAGGGGCATGATGAAAGAATCGGCAAGCCTGAGAAGTAAGGGCATTCACACCGTTGATATTGAGTTGAATAGAGACAAAGTGACACCGACATGATGTTCTAGGCCTACAGCATCCTCGCGGCACTGTGGACCATGCTGCGAGTACGGATCAAGGAGAGGACTTCCAAGCCGGGTCGAGCAACACCACGCTGTCAGAGCGGGGAGAACGAATCGCGCTCAAATCATGCACGACATGCGGCTTCGGCACCGATGAACTAATACAGCTCTGTGAGAAAGCGCTGCAGTTCCATCGACACGACAAGATTGCCTGGAACACGTTAGTCAATGATAGCCATGCAGTGTCTTCGGAGGAGAAGAATGCGGCCATGCTGAGGATCAGTCTCTGGGCAATCCGAGACTATGCTATGACGATGAGGAGAAAGCGAGTTGATAGCGGTGCTGTTGCGAGAAGCAGGGACGGCTTGACCTTGTTGGGGCCACACAGCACCTCTTCAAGCGACAGATCCCGAAGAACCGTCTGCACTCCTCCACGAAGTCACACGGACCACACTTCTGATGATGCGTTGTACCTCAGGGAGAAGGATGGTCATTTGGGACACACCAGCGATCAAAACTATGTAGACGGAGAGCCACGGGGAACACCTGCCAAGAGAAGACGTGTCATGTGCCATAAGCCTTGGAGTCCTCGACAGGAGCAGAAATTGCGAGCGGGGATGGAACAAGAGCAGAGCTGGAAAGATATAGCCACAAGACTGGACCGAACGCCTGGAGGAGTGAGGCAGCATTGGATGATGATGGAGCGCAGGTTCAGTCCGAGGAAGCGTCGAATTTAGAGGCCATCGGACTGATGGGTCTCTAGAAGCGTCCATGGGCACAACTACAGTGAGTGAGCATATATTCTGAGAGTCAGGACTGCGTGCACTAGGGGGCATATGTCATTTTATAACGCGGCAAAATCGGAATAATTCATACTCGATGGTGATTCTGCAGGATTGGACACGTACCTGTTGACAAGTATCTGACGATACTTTCACGACATATTAATGAGTAGAAGTATCTTTTGTTGTTGTTGCGTAGATCATTGACAGGGCCGGGTGAAGCTCGGCATAACTCCCAAAGTAGCTGCCTAGCAACGTCACTTCACTATTTACTCGCTCCCAACTGCAGTAATTAGCGTCAAATGTTATCATGGGAGAAAGACATACTGAATAAACGCGATAGACTTTGTTTCATTTCAGTGAGTTCAATGGCATTCGCAACTACAAACAACTCGATATGAATACGTACCAGACAAACGACCTGTTGAGACGTCTCGAAGAGGCCGAGCGGCGCGCTTACGAGGCCGAACGTGAACAACGCGACGAGAAGCGACGTGCTGATGAAGCCGAACGTGAACGACGCGATGAGAAGCGACGTGCTGATGAAGCCGAACGTGAACGACGCGATGAGAAGCGACGTGCTGATGAAGCCGAACGTGAACGACGCGATGAGAAGCGACGTGCTGATGAAGCCGAGAAACGACAAGAAGAGGCTGAACTGTTGACGCGACGGACAACTTTGGACGAATACATTGCCGCAACTCATGACCTCGTAGCCAGCCACTTCGCCGTCGAGACCGACAAGGACCTCACCTCGAAGGGCCCCATCACAAACCCACGCAACAAGCTGTGTCCAAAGAATCTACGCCCATGGCGCGACTTTCTCGAGCAGCAGCGAACCACTCTAGGGGCCCTCTACGGCACCTTCCCGGTCTCTGATCGGCGTTTCGAATCTCGGGGCTTTTTGACGGGCCTCGGCCAGCGAATTGCCAAGCGACCGATATCTTGCGAAAAGACGCTCGAATATTTCCTGCACAACAGCGTCGAAGATCCAGTGCGAGAGATTTTCGATCAATTGCGGGATGTGGACCAAGTGCGGCACGAGTTTGGGATCGGTAACGGCATTGTCTTTGAGAACCACCCCAATGTGATCAGCGATGTTGCGGAGGAGGTTGTCGACCGGCAGGCCTCATCGATACCGCCACAGACGCCCGATCAAGGGAAAGATCCGGGACGCATCCGGCCCGACCAGATATGCGTATACCGGTTTGACGACGAGCTCTCCACACGGCGTACCATGCTGTATGTGTCCGAATACAAGGCCCCGCACAAGCTGACCGCTCCACACCTGCGCGTCGGTCTGCATCCCATGAATATCTTCAAAGACGTGGTCAATCGGAAAACAATACCTACCGCGGCCGATCCCGACGGTCGATTCCAGTACCATGCCGAGAGGCTCACCGCTGCGGCCATCACACAGACCTACAACTACATGATCGAGGGAGGTCTCGAGTACGGGTTGCTGACTACCGGCGAGACCATTGTATTCCTGCGAGTAGACTGGCGAGAACCCGGCACACTCTTGTACCATCTAGCAGAGCCCGCTTTTGAGGTGGCAGCGCAATCGGGGGAACACCACGCTTGCACCGCAGTTGGCCAGTACCTGGCATTCAGCCTGATGGCTCTCGGCCCGCCAGGGAACCCACCCAATGTTCGATCGCAGGATGAGCGGCAGCGTGTGATCTTGGGGCTGAGGCGATGGGCAGAGGACTTTGAGACGACATTACGATCTATTCCCCGAGACGAGCGATACGCTCCGAGCGGCTCAAGCTCGGGCTCGCTGTATGCGCCGACGACTTATGCAGGCATCAGCCGGTCACCGCGCGTGCCTCGAACAAGACCGAAACGTTGGGCTCAGGAAGAGGACCGTCCAGGTGTGCAGCCAAGATTTAGAGACCGGGACGACGAGTCTTCGTCTGATGAGTCCTTGCCTCCGATGCCGGACACGCCGACACCGTCTGAGCCGCGGTCGAGTAGTCAGAGCCAAGGCCCACGGCGCAGCCAGCGCATTCTGGGCCGAGCGCCGCGCGGGGAAGCTTCACAAGAGCGACAGTACTGCACACAGCGATGTCTTCTAGGACTGGTCAGAAGAGGTCGGCTTGACGCAAAGTGTCCCAACGTTCTCTTGCACCGGCAGGCTAACCTTGCAGCTGCTGATCATCTGATCGACCGTGACGAGTTCCTCCGGCTCCTATTTCAGCAGCTGCAGGAGTCTCTTGACCACGGGATCAGTCGTCTAGATGTAGGCGGATCTCGCGGCGTGCTGTTCAAAGTAAGTCTGATGGCCTACGGCTACACTTTCGTCGCCAAGGGCACGGTATCTGCTTTCATTCGGGACCTAGAACACGAAACAGCCATCTACAAACACCTCGAAGGACTTCAGGGGTCTCAGGTGCCGGTCTGCCTGGGCGCGATAGATCTTCGCGACATGGGCAGGATTTATTACTACGACCATCGGGTCTACATCGAATACCTGTTGCTTCTCTCGCATGGCAGTCCGATTGACGAAGCGGTTCGTGCTGGTGAGGTCAAACGTTGTCTGAGGGCGATACATCGGGCGTGCGTGGTGCATCGGGATGTGCGTCGTACCAATGTGCTACGCAATACCGACACAGGGGAGCTCATGCTGATTGACTTTGAGCGTTCTGTCGTCAAGGCAGGACGGAAGCCGCTGGGCAATATCGTGCCTAACAAGCGATCGTGGAATGGGCAAAGGAAGGGGACTACGGCGTCAATGTACAGTCATGTTCCGGGAGACGCCAATTACGAAGAAGATATACTGCAGGCAGGGGTGGAGTTCCCTGAGAAAGACGTCTTTGCAGTGCCCGCGGCATGTGCCTACAAGCCACGAAAGACGCATGTCGCTGCTGGCATGGCTGCTTCATTCAAAACTGTACCCACGTCTGGATGATACAGGAACATTTCATGTTTGCGTCAAAGCAAAGACGATGCATAACGTAGCATACGGTCCATCTGCAACATCAAAAGGCGGCGTCCACTGTGGTACTTGAGTGCCTAAATTGGCCAAGAGCGCCGGCTCTTGCCCATTAGTGACGTTCAACACTTGTTCTGGTGACGTTCAACACTTGTTCTGGTATTGGGACGTGGGCCGGGTATGGAACTAGGTGACATCGACGCAGCGGCTCCAATGCGATCTGGCATTTTGCTAGCTCTTGGCTAATGAGACGATGCACTCGGTGTTTGAACAAGATTTTGTGGCTAAATTCCAGCTCAATTGCTCCCCTTGCGCGATTTAACAGGGATAACATTTGGGTGCTGGTGGTTGCGTCGCCGACAGTTCCTCCTTTCTCGTCAGTGCTACCTTCTCCTCATTTGGTGAAGCAAGATTGTTCTCTAACTTTCGACGCTTCACCGCCAGAGAAACAAAGTTGATGCGAGACATTTGGAGTTGTAGTATTCCTTCTTGATGAATAACAACAGGCAGGCAGTAGTAGGGTTTCAGACGAAGAGGCACGAGGTTGACACGGCGGGCGGAAGGTGCAGATATGCGTCTTGTGCTGCTGTTGTCCCAGATCTAATGCACCGGCATCTTATACAGTAAGATATGATGAAACTGACGGTAAGTTTGTAGCGACATGAGTCGAGGCAGAATTTGGACCCACCATGATGGAATACTGGACTGCCACATCTGTGTTGGTCGGCACAACTTTGCACTTGAGCATGGATGCAGAAATGGCTACCAGACAGATTACGAGCGCGATCTTGACCTTGTTACAGAACAGTGTTTTCTTACCACAAGAGTCGTTCCTGAGTCTCAAGTCTCATATGGCAATTTGCAACATCCGTAAGCAATATTGGAAACCAGCAGACAGTGGCCCGTGATCCAAACAGTACAATACATCCCATTTTGAGTCTTCGCTACGACAGGCGTATCTATATATACGGTGGAATGAACCACTACCACGATACAATTTTTTTGTTGTCTTCATCATAATATATACTCCATGCATCTCAATATGGAGACGGGTACTGGGGTCGCGCCGCTAGCAGCCTCTGTGCGCAACTACTTTCTCATACGATTGAGCTCCTCTCTAACACGCCTTCCTGACGAAGGAAATGACGCCTTGCCAAGCTTGAAGCGAGTTCTGTGGCAATGCCGAAGAGATTTACGCAATATAACGTCACAAATCTTTCACGATATTCAAGCCATCACGAGGGAGAACAACGAAAACGATATGCTCAAGTGCAGCTTTTGTCACACTCCAATCGAGGCTGATCTAGTATTTGCATATGTTAGATGCAGATGTGTCAGTCAATGTCGTTGTCAGCTTTCCATCGGTTTAGTTCTAACCGTAGAAAATAGGTCACTTGTTTCGAATGTACTTCTAAGCGAAAACATGGCTTTTGTAGGAATGACGATCACGCAATTTTGCATGGCTTGCAAAGATGTAGTGGGATCGAGCGGCATGAAGGACATGATAGAAGGGTCTAGAACAACAAGGGTATATGTTCCCCAGCACCAGCGTTGTGTGGTTGAAATATAGATAAGTACGTGTGAACTATGGGATTGGAAGAGAGATTTCCAGTTGTGCAGACAGAATCAAAATCGGCTTTCTATCTTTCTCTCTACTCTCTTCTCTTTGAGCACGGACAGTCCAGTTCTGGCTCCCACTCGGAAGTACACTTTTGAACCTCTGTCGTACAATGGAATTTGAGAATATGCCCTTTTCGGTCCTGAACGCATATATTCGGTGCCCAAAAACTATCTTCGATGACGTACCAGCGCAATACTATCCGGTCCCAACTTCCATGTGCCAGAATTGACTATTCCAGAAACTGCATAGCAATACTACGTTTTGGTTAGTTGTGCTTACTGGCCAAAAACGTGTTGTGGGCCTGGCCATCGGTCCGCTCTTTAATCTGTCCCCGGTTATCGAACCCATGTCATTTTGAGCCGCGTGGAGCCTGTCGCCATTTTCAGCACCCACCAAAAGTGGGGATGGTGTTAGCGACTTGTTGGTCGCGTCAAATGCGCGCAATCGCATGACCACTTTTCACCACTACACAGCAGCAACGGTCTGAACAATGCCTTCTCCCTTTCGATGCTGTCGAAAACTGGACATGTTTGGTAGCTGTCATGAACGCAAGCAGATTCTGAAATACCGGTTTCCAGTTCCGATCCGCCCATTGATTGGGCTCAATGCTGACTACTGCTTGCCATTGTTGAATCCAAAGCTGGCCCTCAATGGCCCTCCGAAACGATGTCGCCTAACCCCAAGAAGCCATCTCCTGTCGAACGAACGAAAAGTACGAAACCAACAAAGCGGACGCAGGCGCATATAGTCACAAGACATCTAATCGCATTACTGAGGGAGCACAAATGTTACGGCTATTGATCTGGCCAACCACATGCGGCACCCATTTGAGTTCTACAGCATGAGGTTGAACAAAAACACATGGAGCTTGCGAAAGGCAGATTATGGGCATTTCAATTGTATGTGCTATGTAGATATTCTATGTAGGCCATGGACCAAGATCCAGGAATTGCGTCTCTGCATCGGCTCTGCTCCGTTTGGAGCAGGTTCGTAGCCGGCACCACGTACAGGTTGCAGAATCCGTCTTCGCCGACCTCATCCCAGCGATTATGTCCGGGGGAAGCGGTTCGTAACGCTGACCTGCCACAGCGGAGTTCATCCCAGCGATTATGTTCGGATTCCTCGACAGGAAACTGACTTTCAGAGACCATGTCAAGCACTGGACGGGCAAGGCAAGCCGAGTGGCGAATCACATCCGCAGTCTATGCAACACCGTCAGAGGTCTTCCGGTAGCGTCGACAAGGAAAGCCGTCACGTCCTGTGTGATCCCGGTTCTCACACACGGCCTTGACCGAGATTGGAGCACTACATCGACTATGCATGCTATTGATATATTTAATCAATCACATTTAATCGGAACAGGGCTCTCTCCGAAGCTTCCGACCACAGAACCCTGCGCTCAGCTGATTTAGTCGGGCTATGGGATGCGCATCGTGGAAGATTCAAGTTGCGGCAAAACGCGGAAGGCGAAAGTGGTCAGCAGTTAGGATCACTGTTCCAGCGGGAAACATTTGGTTACGAGCAGAGTTTGTGGAGGATTTGGGGATCTGAATTTGAATGGCTGATCCAAATACTTCCTGCGAAACAATTCTTACGCACTTCACTTTGCCCGTTATCGCGAGGCGCTAATTGCTTGGAATTCCCTTGCCATTTATTACCTCAAGGTGATCACGACGATCTGGAGGTGACTGGATGATTATTCTCGGTTGTGAGATAGTTGTTCTTCTGAGTAAGCAGTTGTATGTAAATCAAACTTGCGATAACAGAACCGAGTGCGCACCAGGTCTTGGCGTGAGCCAGAAGTAATCAAGAGACAGAATGTGACTATTATACTACCGAGTTCCTAAACCACAAATAACATAACAAGGTGGGGTTATGCTAACCGGGTATGCTCGCCAAGAGGTCGGACCATAGGGGTAGTATACGTGCATGCATGGCTAGGTGCACCCTTTGCGTAGCGCGTGTGAATAGGGCTTAGTGCGAAGACATATTAGAAATACCACAGTATCGATACTTTGGCGCTACAGAAGTGGATCAAACATCCGGGCTCACATCTCCGGTACAAGGCATTGGCAAATAGCGTCAAGATTGCAGAAAGCACCAATGCTGCAACGGCAGGCGACTAAATTACCTGCAACGTCGATTAAATGGAAAGTTGATGACCAGAAAGCCGCCACTGGGAAACGCTTCGTTCGCTTAGAGTCACCCACTCCAGGTAAGAACTGGACGTGGCATGCTGTCATCTTGAGGATATGACCCATGTTTAATCACTTCTTGATCAATCACCACTGTATCGCGTTCTACAACACCAATAACGATAACTTGAAGCAAGTGAAGATCGAGATGAAATCATAGAGATATCAGAGTCGTGTCATTTCAGGATCGCTAAGTGAAACACGCAATGGAAAGCCTTCAAATGATGATAAATGCAGACAGTCTCTTTAACACAATCATTGGACAGCGGTCAAATGAAATGTTGAGGACGACCGAACAGCTTATAATCCCATATACAACACACCTGTTCTGTGTAATCTGTTAGCCTCATCTGCAATTCAGCTCACCAAAAATTCTCACGACCCTCCACAGATCATAACCTTACCATTTATAGTCATACTGATTCATTCTGGTGGACATTGCTGACACTCATCGTACTCAACGAGCCCGAGGGGGCGGCCGAGGCGGTTTACCCCACTCGCCTGGCGTCAGAGATCGTGGCACTGGAATCTGGTTGACATTTTGGGCCGTCGACTCCGGGTGGCTTTCTTGCGGGTCAACATCTCGTAACGCTGGATGGATGTCTGACGGTGGTCGAACTGATATGGTGGGTTGCTGACGCGGCGACATCTCATAGGTGGCGCTCATGTACGGATCGGGCTTGTTGCCGGCATAGTCTGCGACCTGCGGTTGCGCGATGGTGGTAGGAAGAGTTGGGCTGTTTCGAGGTCTGAACTTGTCAAGAAGAAACACGACGAGAAGTATGCCGACGAATAGGACCAGGATCGCAATACCAATGACCAGTCCTATTAGCAGCCCGGTAATGACGGTTTCATTATTGACGTTGCCCAACAGAGTAGTAGAATAATACGAAAACGCAGGCATTGTAGTCGCGTTGCGCTCAGTGACAGGCGATAACTCCATGGTTCCAAATGTCTTGATAATTACCGACGTAAAGTAGGATTACGATCATTCTATCATAGATTTATATTTTTTTGCTGCCCTGATCCATTAAAGCACCACGGTTGGGACGAGTAAATGTATGGTTCAATGTTGTACAGTGAGTAACGAAATTGGCTTCCGCTCGTGTGGACGAAAATCAATATTCTCGAGAGCCATTTCTGGATTCTTTTCGAAAATAAGAGCTTAATTCTGGCGCTTACCTAACTAGCACTACCAGGATGACATGAATCTGTCACGTCTTCTTGCGCTAGACACGCCTTGAAAACTACCAATCATGTTCCTTATTTATAAAACAGGCCCTTAATATCCCATTCCACCCTTCCAGCCCAAAGTCGACTTCTTTCTTAATTACGTGCGCAACCACACAACTGGTTCATTCACACTTCTTCCACATCCTCCCGTAGTTCGCATACGCCATCAAGATATTACCACCGCGGAGCTGTCTTTGTTGACTTTATCCAGTTCCCAAATTTGCGTCATCGACTGAATGAGCACTTATGAATCACTACCCGAACTGGCTAGATCATTTATTTATACATTGTATAACACTCGATCCAAAAACGGCTCTTATGAGAACGAAATTCCTGGTCCCAATGCGGAATCCATTTTCGTTACCGACTGTAAAATATTTGTGCGGCATTACTCATCTGATTCCAGTTCATTTTGGATCTAGGAACAGTTGGCAATAACAGGGCTTACGTTGTTTCTAGATGCTACAGCATAATCGTCACAAGTCTCATGTACCTGTGGCTAAAAATGGCGGTTCTGCCAATTATGGCATTTAGTGACTGCTCGGTATCTATACAGTCCAGATTTGAACTTTCAGAGGACGCGGCTGACATCTTCCAGACGTGAAACCCTTTACATACAGTACAGTCGGTAACGAAAATGGCTTCCGCTCATATGGACGAAAATTATCATTCTTGAGATCCATTTCTGGATCGTATTTAACAATGCGCAGTTAATTGTAGCGCTTGCCCAAATAGGCATCTCTTGGTTGACATGAATTGTCATGATTTCTTGTGTACATACACCACCACAAAATATTGCCACATGAATACTACGACAATACTCGATCCAGAAACGGGTCTCGCGAGAAACAAATTCTTGCTCTTAATGCGGAAACCAACTTCGTTATTGGATGTAATCGAGATCTAGCAAAGTATTTACTGCATGTCTTCCGGTTTATGATCTCAAATATCCACATATGAATCGTAAAGTAAGAAACACGAACAAGTGAGAGCAAGTGAATTTTGCAGAGATCTCACATATATAGGTTGCTGGCATGCATGATGATGCTTTATGCTCAGATCATCTTATAAATAACCACACTTACTGCACCACTATTCCGCGTAGTTGCAATAACAATGCCAAACGATTTAGACTACAAGACAAAGATTTTTCAAACGATAGCACCTAAAGATTGGTTGGAAAAGATGATTGGCGTAGGATTAATACCTACCTTAATTGGTCGAAACAGCCAGATTTTTGAAGCATTAACGACACAAGGGGGACTGCCTCGAAATACCAGTGGTGAAGAACCAATCTATTTGGCTCTTGTGTTGTTTGAAAGTGAAAGATATGAGTCTCAAGCGAGCGTCTCGCATGGATTCCCTCATAAAGAACTACTCCTCGAAAAGCTTGAAAGTGATGGTGACTGGATTGATGGAGCAAAGCGGGATATATTTCTATCTCGATCCAACATCAAACTCAACGTAGACCATATAAACTATGGCGAGTCCGAGCTTCCCCTCACTGCCGTTGTCCGAAGAATTGTGGAAAACAATCCAAACCAAACATGGATTTTAAATGAGATAACAACGTCGGCAATTTCATACGGCAAGGGCGATATTGAGGTCGAAAATGCATTCTACGATTGGCAAAAGCAACGCCTCTACGTAGTAGCAACAATTGGCAAATGTGTAGACACTTGGATTTTCGGGACCAAAGGAAAGGAGCGGGACTAATACTTTGTATGATTTTCTAAGCCAGTGTTAGACTTTATGAAAAGGGCAATATGATGCTGATACGACTGTTGTGGTTTTGAAGTATGGCTGGGGCCACGTGGGAAAGGGTTTCCCGTGCATCTAAGATAGTAGGAAGGTGTGACCATTGATTCACTGTGTTTTGACTCAAATGCAATCATATGACCTGATGGCTTTCTTCTTCTTCCTTCATTCAGGGGCTATTCTTGGAGTTGTCGGCTTACCTATTAGATCTAGACCCGCGTGGGAAGGGCGCAGATATTAATGCTCACAATACTACGCAGCAATTAAACGTTATCAAAGACAGATTTTGGGCACTGATTGTATGCATTCATAGTCAGAAAGGACATATTTTCAAGTTCAGGTACTGAAACTTTACTACCGCGCGGAAGCAAGAAGTAGCTTTTTGAACCCCTGGAGTACCACTTGATGACGAGCAATTTGGACACACAAGTAGCTTGTGCTCTTCTTATAGTACAGTTGAGAACGAACTTTGTAGTTACGCTCGGCTTGATGGCTACAGTCAGAAAAATATACACATCAGATGTACAATACGGACTGCAGCGTAGAAATTATCCTCCTCAAGCTCATCCGTCCCAGAAAGGGCAAGGAGATCCGCTTTCGGATTAGATGGCGGAGTTAAGCACTTTTTGCACGCTTGGTCCACTTGGCCTCCGAGCTAGTGCGTCCCGCTGGCTCTCCTGATTTCGACCGGACCATCGAGAGGAAATGGTTTCGGCCGTTGCGGCTAGTAGTGGTGAAAAGTGGTTACGCGATTGCGCGCATTTGACGCGAGCGACAAGTGGCTAACCCCATCCCCCAATTTGGTGCTGAAAATGGCGACAGGCCCCACGCGGCTCAAAATGACATGCGTTCGATAACCGATGTCACGGCCCACAAAACGTTTCTTGGCCAGCAAGCCAACCAACCAAAACGTAGTTTGCTATACTGTGGTATGCAGTTTCTAGAATGGTCAATTCTGGCTCGTGGAAGTTGGGACCGGACAGTATTGCGCTAGAGGGGTCAGAGGTGGTCAGTGTGGATTCATACCCCAAATGAGAACCTTTCGTGCGTAGCCACTTCCGAGCTAGTCCATTTCCATTTTTAACACCGCGACACTTTTGAACTTCGGTACTGTGCACCACAAAATCGGCACTCTAGCTGTCTCCAATCTGACGGGTATTCTGAGACCCGTCTTCTGTATATGGACGTATAGGAGTGGGCGAATAGAAAATGCTTCCTTCTACCCAGATCCGACACCTTTAGTCAACAGCAACTGTCCATAAAGTTTATTGTTCTGAGACGGTATCAACTGAACGATTGCCCTATGAATTATCTATCAGGTTAGGCGCCTAGATTGCCTCCAAACAGCCTCAGGCACCCCCTCCATCACCTCATAAAAGGGCCCTCATTATTTTGGTAACTGCATAGTTCTTCCTTCCAATTTCTTCTCTTTGACACTGCCTTCCACGCACTACTCATTCCTGGATATCAACACCCAGAGTTCCGCAACAAAATGAGTAACCGCCACCTACATAAAAGGGATCTCTCGTTCCCTAGCCCGGCACCGTCGCACGATGTAACATTTCCCAATGACGAGACAGCCGCAGTCGAACAGGAGGACGAGCTCTGTCAAGCCCTGCTTTCGCTGATTGAGAGCATAGTGCGTGACATGCAAGACGAGCTTCGACAGCAATTTAAAGCTCAGCTGCAAGAGTCCCAGATGAAGAGATTGCAGCACGAGAAGGTACTCTCCTCGCTAGCGGAGTCGCTCGTGGCAAACCTACTTGCAACAAAAGACCAAATGGTGGAAGATCTTGAGGAAAGGGTCGCTATGCTCAAAGCCTCGATGGCTACTCCAGAACTTACCGGAGCACTGTGGCCTGACAGGGCATCTCAGCCAATAGGCGAAGTCGAAGACCACTCTCCAGCATATCTTCAGCAAGTAACTGCGAAGAATGGCGAGCTCAAAAACCTTGCTGAACAACTCAAACACGGAGCTGGTGACTTTGGGAGGGCAGCGAGTGTGTTTTGTTCTGTCATCTTCTTCGATCCCCGCCAAGGCAAACTGGACGCGGCGGTGCACTTGCCAGTAGGCCAAGCTCTGCCAGGTGCTAATGAACTCGTACGTGTTTGTGAGCAGCCAAGAAAGGGAATGTTTGTTTAGTTGACTTATTTCTCATAGATGCGGGCGATGGAGGAAGCGAATAATGCTACATTCGTGCAGGAGCGCGTCGCACCAGAAGTTGTCAACTCTCCTAGGTCCACAGCATTTCAATCGAGTCGAGCTGACAGTCTCTTTGGGTCGGCAAGAGAAGAGGCCGAAGACGTGGACAGCAGAATGATCGAGCAACAGTTCACTGACGATACTGCCCAGGCAATGGGATCAAGCACTAGGCTCCGCTCCGAAGGAATCTGGCCAAGGAGACAGAAAGCCAGTCAGTTCCCAGCACTCCCTGCCCGAGGACAACCAGCTCGATCTGAACCATCTCCTTGGTCCAAGCAGACCGGAAACCTATCACAGCTGGCAGAAGCAGCTCTTCATCTCAGCTCATGATTAGTAGTAGGACCTCCAATGACTTTTGGTCGAAAGCCATACCACGCCTGCAGATGAAGCACCAGTCTAGCATTTATTATGGGGTTTACCACTAAATATGAGTTGCCAAGGTCGTCGGTCTCCCGTTGCGGATTAACATCTGACGTGAGTCTAGTTCAACGTGGGTGATCTTTAGACTATAGCTTCTCCATTCTGACAATTCAAGTGTGATGAAATATATGTGTATACATCGCAGCCAGCATCGATTTTGAATTAGCCGATTATTTTATTGTCCCACCCCAAAATAGATCACGCGTCTAGAGGTATGTTTACAAACAAACCCAGAGTCTGAAGAGGGGCCAGGGTGCGCTTCCCGGACTGTAGCCGAGCCAATAAAGAGTGCTTCGGATCCAGTCTGATAGGTCTTACGGTATGTCTGCTCAGCATCCTGGCTTTCGCGGTCAAACTGAGTTAGAAGGTCGCGTTGCAAACTAGGCGAGTCCTAGTTTGGTGGAGTAAGATATACAGCTTGTCATCAATAATTGAGTAAACCCATTCGCCATCTCGGAAAAAAACAAAGCCGTAGATACCAATGCGCGTGTCATATTCAACACACAGTTTTTGGATGCCGTCCTCGATATTTGCAAGTGCACTGAGACTAGCAACCAACCAGCAGTGTCCGATATGTCCCTGCCACCATCAGGGGCACGTATGACACAGGCAAGGTGCCCCATTGCATCTGTGATTTAATCAAGGCATTATGCCATCACCCTAGCTACGTGCTTGCCTCCTAAAATTTGCACAAGAGACTAGCCCGGTGGCATCTCAGAAGCTTGCAGCAGGCGTTGATAAGCAAAGCGAAACCACAGATCCTGAATCATGGCTTCCTGTGCCAACCTTAGACCCCACTAGCCTAGTCTAGGCATCCTAATAGGAACGTGACATGTCTCAAGATATGGGGCACATGGGGCACATGGGGGGGCATTCCGGCAGGGATGGTGTCATAGCTGCTCAGAGGTAAGATGAACATCCGGACACTTTGTCACCTCTGCTTGTTATGATGCAAGTTCGATTCAGTGTTTGATGAATTCTGCCTTTATTTTCACTCATGAGATAGTCCAGCAAACTTATGGAAGGAGTAGTCCAGTAGTAGTCCAGCAGCTACATTAGTCGGACTTTGAGTGTCAACCACTCGCCTCACACTCCATGACTCGCAACCGGCTGATATCGGCCTAAGACTCCCAAGTATTGTCACCGCCCCAGCCCTTCCACTTCACAAGATATTGCGTCTTGCAGCGCCAGGTCCGTTTCTTAAGAAGGCGCTCCACCGCGAAGTCGTTCCCGGTATAATTCGCGTCGAACTCCTCGATTAAGTCGGTACTAATGTCCTTCTGCTTCTCCCACGTGTTGTATTCGTCGCTAAAGCCATTCCATCTCACCCAATACCATGTCGTCCGAGCCCGGGTCCATTTGCCAAGCAACTTGTCGACCCTCCAGATATTTGCAATGGCATCTATTGCGACTGGTGGCCCTTCTAATCGGCTGACAGAAGAAGCATAGCCCGAGATTATCTCCCTGTGCTCATGATGGAGGCCAACCATTCGTGGGATGTGTGATGAACACGACGACGATGATGGTGAGGGAAAAGTTCCGACGTTGGAACACGTATCCTATCCGCTGCTTCCCTGGCTGCTTCCCTGGCTGCTAATGTTTGACGAGGGGCTGCCACAGAAAGGTGGCATCCGTCTTGTGCTCTCATGGTCATAGCTGTCCCGGCCTTCAGATACATCTGAGAAATCGGCAGCCGGTGGATGATCAATTGCAGACGTATAGTCCACCAGAGCGACATACGACGGACACCAGAACAGATCATCCTCTACCACCTGTGCCGAGACGGATGCCTCTACAGGAAGAACAGGCATGTTCATGGTCGTGACGGATTCGGATTCTGCAGTACAGCCAACGGACCAAATGACGTATTCTGTCTTGGGATTGACCAGCACTCCGATTGTGGCTTAGAAACCACTGATACTTGGAAGCCTGCTGGTACGAGATGCCTCATGGTCGGTGTATTGTGGGTTTCAGTCGCTGGAGGAAAAGATGCTTCGTCGTATTGAAGAGGGAAGATTGGACGTCCTGTGTAGTAACAGGACGGTCCATACAACAATGAACGATCTCGTTGGTAGCTTTCCATGGTGATAACAGTCTACAACGTTCGGAATATCGAAGGGGTCAAGCAGTTGTGTTAAGTGTCAGATTTTGGAAAGGACGGTCTGGAGTGCCTGGACGGCGCAGTACGAGTGCGAGAACACTCCTATTTATGATCACTCCAATACAAATCGGCACAACCTGATCGAATGGGTCTAGCCTTGCGGACGAATTCTCGAAATCACCCCGACCAGGGACATTACGCAACCGCGGATATTATTTCATTCAGCATACTGTGGCTATGCCTCAAACTGCGCTTTTGCAGCCATGGTAGACAGGCCAGTAGTCGACGACGGCGGTTTTCCCAGCCACATATACGATGAGCAGTCAGTGGAGAAGTCAGGTCTTGACTGAACCATACAGAGCAATA